TATCAATTCGCCAGGGTCGCTGGCTCCATGATCTGAGGGGCCGCAAGGTTAAAGGACTTGTCCACAGCGTTCTGGACTGTCATTACGGAGGCAGCACCCATATTTATTTTCTATTCTCCTCAAACAAGAAGCGGTGACTCATGGCCAAGCTGATCCATCGGTCAAGCTCGTCTGTATTGCATCTCAGTCGAAGGCAGTTTTAAGAATTTGTGATAGTGTATGATGATGCCCACAGTTTCCGACAATTTCAAAGCAAAAGCAAAAAAAAAAAAAAGCGCGAAACGGCCAGTCCAATGGCAAGGGACGCTTTCAACTGATCACGCCAACATCGCAGAAGCAGGGCCCATCCCAGTGCGGTGTTGCTGTGTGAATGGCTCACTGATGGAAAGGAAAAGCAATCCTGCTATGATCATGGTCCAGCATAGGGCGACTTGTCGCATTGGGAAGCCCAACCTCGAGTCAATTGGTCAATTCATGCTAGCTCTTCAGGGGATCACGTCCAGTATTTCCAATGTGTCCTAGCGGACTGGCGAGCCGTGCCCGTACGCTACTGTAACATGGTAGCAACAGCACTGTGCCGTCGGCCGCAGCTCTTTGGGACGATCATTTTTCCAAGGACCGGTGTCTTCCCTAACCCCCCGGGCGCAAAAACAAACCGCCAGGATCCCTCGCGAGACGCTCAGACTCGCCGTTTTCCTTCTCGTTGGCCTGCAGCTGTCAAAGAGATAAAGTTTGTCCCACCCACGCTGTGACCTAGGAGAAAATTTATGAGATGGCTACTACCGATCCTCATGCCCAAGCAAGATGGAGTTGCATCCATATCAACACTACAGTACCTTAGCCGGTCGGCACTCGAGAGCAGGATCCTCTCACAAAGACATTGCACACACAGCAAAGAGGGGGAGAAGGTAAAAGGACAGAGCAGCATCGTGATTTGTCTCGCAGTCTAACTCTGCGAGCGCATAAGTTAACCGTTTGTGGTCAGTCCCTGCTCCCGGCAGTAGCAGAGATGAAGCCAAGGCAATCCAACCAGGTCTGCTATCAAGCGGCAAATGCCATCACAACTCAAAATTCCAGCCCCCATCTCTTCCTCTTGACTACTATCTGCGGCAAAGATATGCCATGGTGCCGTGGGATCGCAATCCCCAGGGCTTGCCTGCCTGACAACCTGCAAGCTATGCACGCGATGGAAATTTCTTCATACTCCAGAGCCTATTTTAGGTCTCTAGGAACAACATCAATGATCCTTATGCAAAAGGAGCGGGTAAAGATCGCTCTAATGATTACTCCTTTTCACAACAACTGCTACACTACACTGCACGCAATAAGCAAGAAAGAACAAAAACAAGATGGAATATAATAAAAGGAACACAAAAATAAAATCAGCAAATCTCTCAGAATGTGCCGTGCAGACAAAGCACGCGATGACAGGTCATAAGCTACCTAGCGGATCGTTAGAACAAACTCCACGCTCTCGTGGGTCTGGTCCTAGCAGCTAGCTCAGAGGTCGAACCTGCGACAACCACTCTCGGTCGACAAGGTTGTCCTTGGAAGGGGCTTTGTAGTGTAGAGCCTGAAAGAGACGAGTCTCATGGCTTCTTCCGCCATCTCGAAGACCTCGAAGCTTTTTCCCTGGGGAAGCAAAGCCAGCCCAGCTTGGGTTTGGGCGAATATTCCGTACATTCAGACAAGAGCAGCGGCGTCACTGAGCTCACCCTGGTAGCCCTGCAGATAGCACTACTACATAGTACGACTACGCTACTCTCTGCGTAGCTGCTACCACGTACTACCACTACTACTAACTAGCAAGTAATATAGTGTCAGTGTACGTGGTAGCGTACCAACGTTTGTAGATTTGAAGATCGACGGCTTGTCCATGCGAGCGCCGAAGTGGATAGGAGACGACGAAGCTACGGAGCCCATTTATGATCCAAAACTCGCGGCACCATCCCAAGGTCGATTTCGGGTGGGGTGGAACTCATAATTGATCAATGGTTTTTTGATGATGCCTCCTGTCTGTCTGCTCACCTGAGCCGAGCCGGGGCCTACCCAACTCATCTCACACTACCATCGGGAGATATTTGACAGAACCGTCTGCCGCCAACATCTCATTTTGGCCTTGGTCTTGGCGCTATCCTCATCTCTCGTCTCCTCTAAAAGGATCCCGCTCTCTTTTACTGTCTGAATGTCAAAGCACCAGGGTCCAGTCCAGCCGACGACCTGTCCATCCGCTTAAGCTAGCATTGGTGCTGGTTCTCGTACCTGCACAAGAGCACAGCCGGCCAGAAACTTAATTGAACCCTTGTCCTCGACGACTTCCTCGCTCTTGGAAGATATTACGAACACCACCCGCCCTCGACTCTCGGGAAACAAAAATAAAAAAAAAGTGGACGCAGCAAACTTCGTATACTCCTGGAGAGTAAGAAAGAGAGTTGTCTTCGACGAAAACGTGTACCTGCCTTCCTTCCCGTCTTCGGTTCCGATTCGACAAAAAAAGAAGACTGGACGAGCAGGGTTCTCCAACGAATAAGCACGAGTTGGCTTGGAACGACAGGCCGCTTACATATTCGCCAACCGCTGCTGCATCATACAGACACGAACACTTCGCAGAGACCACCATTCACTCTTTTTCTTTTCTTTTCTGGGTGGGATATAGGAATTTTTCGACGAACACGACGACTATTCTTCTCGACTTTGGAGTTGCCGTATTGCCTCGTTTGCACGCAACCCGGTAAGCTGTCACAGCGTCATTGCTTCTCTTCGAAAAGAGCTGGCTCTCAAAAGTGAGTTTTTGATAGTAGTCCTCCATTCCTGCTGCTATTCTCCTCTATATTCATTATTGTTTTTCCCCCCCCCACCCCTGTGGCCATGCATACCCAGCTGGAGAAGCCCAGAAAACAATCTTGGCATTGTTTCTCGGATCTTTTGAGCAAGTGCTCTATTGCGCGGTCTGGTCCTTGGTTATCTTTTCGATAGTTGGGATTTATGCGCAACCCCCATGCCGCGCGAAGCCAGCCCGTATGCTGTGCAACCGCCCTTCGCAGGTCCTCGCGTAGGTACGACCTCAGCGTGTGCGGCGATAGCTCGTCGGGGCCGGTCAATAACAGGACCTATCCCAGAGCCTGGTCAAAAGGGCGCCTAGAGTGACGAATATGTGAAGTGCTCCCCTATTTGTTCACGAATCTATCATGTTATGCACATGGAGTGCGGCCCGCGCTGGAGAGCACAGCTGGGCTTCATCGAGGCGGGAACACCATGTGTGCAATCCTCGATCGCAGGTTCTGATGATGCACTTTAGTGGCTGACATCGGGAATTTTTCTTGTTGTATTCTAATGCCCATGCTCGGTTTCTACTTCCGTATATGCAGCAGATATCTTGAATCAATACTGACCTCTCTCTCTTTTCCGTCATGTTTAGTTGGTTCTATATTTGTTCCGATACACTCCCCCCTTTGACAAGACTTTGGTTCTTCACGAGTACAAGACTGTCTGCTTTGCTTTGTCAAAGTTTACATCATCCTCGCTTACACTCGTTTCTCGCTTGCGATTCTCCACGAACGGCCTTGCACCCACGCATTTTTCTTTTGGAGAGATCCAACAACCCAAAAAAAAAAACCAAGGAAAGAAAAAAGTCCACGTCGCTTCCAAGCACGACAACGGGTCAGATAGGACACGCAGCCTCAAAAAAGAAAAGCCGCCCGAATCGTCAAAGCACAACGACCCACCGATCGCCGCCGCCATCGGGGCTCCAATCGGAACAAGCCAACGTCGCAGTCACCGGGCATTAGACATCGTGTCCTCCCGTGTTCCGTGACGGGCTTCCGAGACTTACAAATCTGGCCTCTTCTTGTCTGGTCAGAGTTCTGGGACGTCTCGTGACACACTATCGAAAATCGAACGCGCGTTCGAGAAGTGGTGGTGTGCATTTTTAGCATCACGCAAGCAGAAACGGGCGACTGCAACTACGAATTTGGAGTATTCAATCCCAAGAAGCTGCAGCCAATAGTCCGACGGCCCGTCTTTTGCACGCGGAGTACAAGGTATGTAAATATGTATATATTTTCTGACCCATCACCGGTTGGCGACGGGCGACAAGCTGCGGTACCGATGAAACCCAGTAAAGCGTCATTCTTACTACCTGTTTACGATACTGACATGAACAGGCGGACCAATCTGCTGCAAGATTTTTGATTGCCAATTCCCAGCAGTCTGTCACGGCACAATTGAACAATATCGGCCCACGACCAGCTTCCAGGCTCTTGCGTGTGCTCACCGGGCTTGTGCTGATTAGATCTGTCAAGCGAGAGCAGTAGCTGCATGTCATTATTAACACATTGCCTCTTTTCACTATTCACCCATTGAGCCGGGACTGGCTGCGGCCCACAAACCGACAAGGAGGGAAGATCGGAGCGTCCAGGTTGCAAATCCGCACCAATATTCCCGGTAGGGTAAGTAAAGTCTTGGTCTCTGCTCTCTCTCTCTCTCTCTCTTCTCAGTCTCCTCTGTGGCCCCCCCTGCCCTGGCAACATGCCCTGGTCTCCATACCCTTGCTCCCATATTGGGTCCTTATTCCCCCCTTTGGAGCATCACGCATCTTTGCATGAGGATTCATAGTGGACTCTGGCCAGGGTACGAATACAGGACGTTATCCTCACACCCCAGCTTCGCCGTCATTCGACACCTTGCGAGGCCCCCTTCCTACAATCCCTTGTTTGTCACTACACCACCGTATTATAGAGGTGGCACGTTTTTTTTTCTGTCTCTTTCCCCCGCAAAAAATCTTTTTCTCGATTGTTTTCATATTTACCTGACGCGCCTGACGTCAAACACGTTCATTATATACGGTCAAACGAAAAAGAAAGCTGACTCTTGTCCAGCTTTGAGCTTTTGGAGGGACGTGGAACCAGAGCTTGAGCTCGTACATAATCAACACGACACCAAACCTGTCTGACAACCCCTCCACGGTCAGACGTGATACATAACATACTATATAGTACACCATGTACTCGCCACTTCCAGTGTATACGGTCCCCAAAAAGTCGAAGGGATGGAATCCTCGCAAGGGATCCGCTTCCTTCAAGTCGTCTGATGTCTCGCCACCGCAAACTGCCTCTTCTATAAATGCGCCATCATCAAAATTATTCCAAGGTTTCAATGACATGTTGGACCCGGCACTAGATGGGCCTCCATCACCGGGACGTCTAAGGGCAGTCGCCAACCAGGTGCGCAAGAACTCAGTGGCAGAGAAACACGACAGTCAACAGACCAACTCATCTGGCTCGTCTTCTATACTTTCGGCATATGACAGACCGTCTTGGGAGCATGGCATCGAGAGCTTAACACTATCACGGAGATCATCGCAACGCTCTACCACCAGCAGCATGCCCTCACGCGAGCGACCAGAGAGCACGCAAATCTTCAGCAAATCCATATTTAACCGCAGAGGCAAGGGTCGGAGAGAGAGCAGTGACTTGGGCTCTTCCAATGCCTCGTTAAACTCCACCGAAGCACCGGCAGATGCAGCCAATGGTCAGAAGGAAGGCAGTTCCTTGAAGTCATTATTGACTAGACGAAAGGGTGGCAAGGATGAGGAACCGCCACAGACCAAGATCAAGATTTCAGGGCCTTATAATTTCCAACATGTCGCCCACACAGAGAAGGAGAATGACTCGCAACCAGTGCGACAAGGCATGGACTTGGCGCAGGACCACTTGGAAATGCGTCGAGTTCACAGGCCGAGGAAATCGTCTCTCATGGGTGCTGCCCCTCCTGTGTCGTATCACTCACATTATCACAGCGAGTCCTTTTCTTCTCAGCAGGATCCATCGGCAGGTCTGCATGTCGCACATGGCTCGTACGGCGAGCCGGTCGAGATGCGACATGTCTTGCCGACTCCAGCAGTCCCAACTCGATCTGTGAAACGAACCCAGTCGCAAGACCAGTTCCGTGTTCCTCCTCCACGACCGCCAAGATCTCCCACCGAATACAGCTTTGAGTCTCCCATATCCCCGCCGCCCCGTACGTCCAGTCGGGCGTCGGCGCGACCTGAGAGCAGCAATGGCTTCGGTTCGTTCAGCTCGGATCGATTCCCTGCAGGTGCCGGCATCCGCATCCCTCAGCCAATAGTCTTCCCATCCACGTGGGAAATGTCCAACCAGCCCATCCTGCCTCGCTCAGGAATCTCGACTATCGATGAGGATGACGTTGCTCCGCATGAGCAGAGATACTCTCATGCCATCACCACTCCTGATAACGCGGCCTGGCCGCTACCGGCTGAAACGATTACAAATGTGTTGGCAGATGTACCAGAGGAGGAAGAAAACAATGGACTATCACGATCTCGGATGAGCATGGCAAGCAACAGCTCTGCATTGCGTGGCAGCATCTCAGTACCACTTCTGCGCCAAATTTCTCAGCCTCAAAACACGCCAAATGCCCGACCTCCCAGCAATGCCTCAGAGACGCTGGGACGGTTCGATTTGCTTGCTGCCCAGCGTGCTCTCCGAGCTAGCATGGACGACGATGCAAGCGATTATGAGGACGAGCTGGACCAAGTGGATAACTGGGAGGATGACATCGATTACTGCTATGACCATGCAGCCGAGGCCGATTGCGACTACGCATGGGAGCGCCCATCAATGGACATGGCCCGGGACGCCTCACCGTCAATGGATGCAATGGGCTTCAGATACCCCGATTATGGGTCCGGCTCGACCGGTCTTCTCTCGCCACCCGGCCGTGACGACGTTCCAGCCCTTAGCCCTGTCAGCCAGATCTCCAACGGCACGCAAAACGAGGCAAAGACGCCCACCGTCGTTGTACCCGTGACTTCGAACTTTTCCCTGCCTAGACGCGACAGCTCGGCAGTCCTCGTCCGCAGCCACAGTCACAGCCGCAACGTGTCCCATGCCGACAGCTTCAAGGAAGCCGCCACTTTTGATCTCTCCCCATCGTTGCTGATCCCCGGGGACTATCATCAGCAAATGCTTCTCCACGAGCGAGGCGAGCTGCGCGAGGAGGATGAGGACTACCTGGTAGCACCACTGTCTCCCTCGGGCTCACACTTTGCCCAATCTCCGAAGACGGTACTTGCACGTTGCAGTGCCTCGACCACCGACTCCATCTTCTCCAACCGCCACAAATCAACCACCTCAACGTCAACAACTTTGACACGGTGGACCTCGACCAGCACCACCAATGCGCTTGTGGAGGGCTGGCAACCAGAGGACAAGGAGCTCGTGCATGCTTCCAGCTTTGATAGGACTGCCATCAGCCCCTTGCCTGAACTTGAGGAAAGCCACTTTCGACGCGACACCAGTGCCGAGCGCCACGCCCGGGCACAGTCTCACGCCAACTTCCTTGTCAAGTCCAGCTCCGAGACCACCATGTCTGATCACTTAAAGTCCAGCCCCGAGTTGATCAAGACTCGCCGCCGAGCCAAGACCACAAGCCGGAGCCACAACCAGGCTCCAGTGTCGCTTGGTCTCTTCCCTTCCATCATGAACAACCGCGTCTAAAACAGACGAGATTGACGAGTCGAAGGAAGATGTTACACTCAAACTAAATAAATTGGTTACTATTTCCACATGACATAGTGGAAGTCAGCTACCCCCACACTGTCGCTCTTGTATTTCTCTTGTTTTTTTGCATCTAGCGGAGCGCGTTCGATAGACTTTGCTTTTTTTTTTTTTTTTTTTTTAGTCCCTTGTTTCTTTGTCTTTCCCAAGCAGTCTAGATCAAGCGAGATTTGCCCATATCGCATTCTGTCGCTTATGCATCTTTACCAAAAACCCCTGTACCGGGAACTATCATGGAAGAGGCGGAATCGGGTCCTTCTTTCAATCTTTCTCTTTTGTCATGTCAGGGACATTTCGGTGGGTTTCAGGCGGTCAGGCGGGAGCATTTTCAGGGAAAAGCTAAAGAAGGTTCAAAAAGCTTGGGATCTGAAATCTTTGCTTCCTTTTATTTTTTTGTGTATTGGTTTGGGCAGGGGAATTCATTGGGAACCTGGAAGGGGAGAGTTCTCCCGCGGGGGGTGGAATGGAGGGGTATTCGAGGGCCACGCTCTGATATGGGTAATGGGCGTGGCAAACGTCAACGAGCTCGGCGACGGATGTCTTTTGCGTCTTGCTCTTGCATCTTTGCCTCCCCGGCTTGCCCTTTGAGCGATATTATAGAAGGGCGGTCCCGTTTCCTGGGCTGAAGGCGCAGGGAGAGGCGCATCTCATGGGACATGGGGGCGCAGGCAATGGGATAGATCAACTGGGCCAACCAAACTTTATGAGGCTCACATAAGTCTAATAGAAACCAAATCATCAAAATCTTCATCTGATAATGTTCATGCCCAAATAATCTCAATGAGAGTGCAAGAGAAGTCGAGTAATGCATCAGGGATGGTTATAAAGGTACATGGAAGTTATCAATATCAAGGTCTCACTGTGACACTACATGTGTATTCATGATCTGAATAGCTTGATTGTCAATGGTACATATAAGCTCGATTTATTTATTTATTTTTTAACAATCCAGACGCCTAAAGAAATGCAAATGCATGGTTTTGAACGTGGCGAAGAAAATAAACCTTTTCTTCGGATTTATTCCTCCAGGGTATGATGACATGGAAGCGGGGACTGAGAAGGTGCCCCAAACATTTTCCTCCCTCCTTTTTTCTTTTACTCGTCGTCACCCTCATCATCATCAGCCCCGGCAGCAGCGTTCTTCTTCTCTTCTCTCTGCTTGACCCACTCGGCAGCGCGGGCGCTGACCCTCTCGCGCGACTTTTGGTCGCCATTCTTGACCTCCCAGTCGGCCCAGCGCTTGAACCACTTCTTGGCGGCGCGCGCCTTGAGGCCCTTGGCCTTGAGGGCGCGCTCAAAGACATCCCGGACGACCTTCTTGTCGGCGCCGGGGACGTCCTCGTGGTCGAGCAGCTGGTTCCAGAGGTCGAAGCGCTTGGGGAAGGTGCTGAGCAGGCCCTCGAACATGGTGCGGCCGAGCTCGGGGTTGGGGTGCTTGGAGGTGAACTGCAGCGTCGCCATCTTGGTCATGAGCGGGAGGTGGGCGTGCTTGGGCAGAGATTGGGTCGCTCGCGGCAAGAGGGCGCGCGCCCGCTCCGGCTCGTCGCGCTCAGAGTGCAGCCAGTGTGCGTAGTTGTACCAGACGTCGGGGGACGATGCGCCAAACTTCTTGGTCATGGTCTGGAAAAGTTCATCTGCCTTCTGTATAAAGGTGAAAAGGAATAATGATTAGTTCTCAGTCTGCCTAGAAAATTATCTTTGTTAAAGGGGGATGAAGCTTACCTCGGGCTTGTCTTCGTGGATGTAGATGCTGGCCAGTCTCTGGTAAACTTCCTGCTGATCATTGACTTGCAGGGCACGCTTGAAAACTTCGTCCACGGTCTCGTCGTTGCCGTAGTGAACCTCGAGGTTGAGGTATGCCACCCAGGCGTTCAGCTTCTCGGTTTCCTCTGAGCTGTTGATGGTAGAAACGGCACGCTCTACCACCTTGCGGGCGCCGGCAAGCTCACTGGACTGCATCTGGTATGCCATGTACTGGATCCAGAGTCCCGAAGAGTTGGGCTTGCGGTTCAAGAGCTGTTCGTAGTCCGCAGCTGTGCGCGGGCCAAAGGCATCAAGGTCTCCGCTATGGTCGGCTTCAGTCTGGGCCTTCTTTCGCTTCTTCTTCTTGTCCTGCGCTGCGCTGTCACCATTGGCAGCTTCAGAAGAGCGCTTCTTGTCTAGTGCGTCGGCGTCCCAGTCGAAGCCACCAGCATCAAGACCCTCAACCTCTTCGCCTGCCTTGTCTGTCATTTCCACGTCCTCATCGTCCTCGTCCTCATCCTCGTCCGACATGTTGTCTGTGCCGGTGATGAGAACGCCACTGTCGGCATCATCCATGTCCTCATCATCCTCGTCATCTTCCTCCTCCTCGTCATCTTCCTCCTCCTCGTCATCGTCATCATCATCGGACACAAGCGCAGCACCAGCGTCATCATCGTCGCTCATGTCCGTGTCCTCGTCCTCAAAATACGAGGGCTTGAGGCCAAAGTTGATACGTTTCTTTTGCGCGTCAAGCTTCAAGATTATGGCCTTGACGGCATCACCCTCGTTGAGGAGCTTACGGGCATCATCCACTGCCTTTTCAGCAATTTCGCTTCGGTGGCACAACCCACTCACGTTGGCTGTGCCGTCGACAAGGATAAATGCGCCAAATTCCTCAACCTTGCGAACTTTTCCAGTGATGATCTGTCCCTCGCGCAAGTCTTGGTAGCTCAGAAGTGGTACAAAATCCTTGTCAACCACTGATGACTTCAGGCTCATTTGGATGTGGCCTAGAGCACTGTCAATGGAGGTGATGCGACCTTTCACAAGTTGGTCAATCTGGAAAGAGTCCTTCCATTCTTTCAAGAACCGGTCGGACAAGTCAGAGATCTTGACCATGGCCGTGATGTCGCCACCCAAAGCCACAAACACTCCCTTGTCTGAGACGTGCTTGACAAAGCCTCTAATGATGTCGCCAACGTTCAATTGTGCAATCTTGGAAATCTCCTTGTCCTGGACCTTGCTCGAAGAGTTGAGTACCCGTGAGTGGCGTGCCGAAAGTCTCACTTTCTTGTTGCTCTTATCAACATTAACCACTGATACCCGGATAATGTTGTTCTTGGCAAAGTTCATGGTGTTGGCGTCGTTGTAATCATCACTGATATCTGTCAGGTGAATCGGGCCGGAGACTGTCTTGCTCAACTGGACCATGATCTGTCGCTCGTTGATCTTGGTGATCCGTCCAGGAAGAACCATGTTCTGTTTGACAGTATCCCAAGTAAGCTCTTCGCTGGAAGACTCGGACCGCGCCGAGAGATCCAGACGCCCTTGCTGGGCATCGACAGAGACAACGCGAACACGGAGGGCGGAGCCGACAGGGAAGTTGCTGGCCATTTTCTCAAGAAGCGACACGTCATCGGAAACTTCGAAAGCATTTATTCTACCCCTGACATTAGGAGAAAGGTTGACCCAGAGAGATCTCTCCTCAACGTTGTTGACAAATGCGACATATGAAGCCCCGACGGCCAGTTTTTCGTACGTCAGATTAGCAGCAGATGACCCGGTAAGATCACTTGGCTTGGCAGAGAGCTCAAGGACGGTGTGCGTCGAACGATGTGAAATAGGTAAGAATCGGTGGTTCTTGGCGTCGTGTGCACCAAGAACTCTGACAGAGATGATATCGCCTTGCTTGAAATCCTTCAAGGGGCGCTTGGTATCTTTAATGTCGTCCCACGAGTCAAACACCTGCGAAACATCCACACGTCCCTGAATGTTATCTGCGAGCCTGACGTTCAGCTGAGAGTTCTTGACAGATGAGATCCTAGCCTTGGTGATTTGTCCAACGGTGATATCATCGATGCTAGTGATCTTCTTGTCGACTGGGTTCTCAGCTGCCACTCCGCTGACACTGGGGCGCTTCTGCTTGTCGTGCTCGTCCGTCTTCTCAACACTGGGGGAAGACACGACCATTCTGCTGTGGTCGGTATCAATGGAAACCACCCTGACAGCAATCGACTGACCCTTCTCCAGGCCGAAGTCCGTCAGCTTCTGAGCATCCTGGGGCAATCTAGCCTTGGGTAACAAAGCATTCAAGCGACCACCAAACTGCACAAACACTGCAGTCAAAGTGATGTTTCGTACGAAACCTGCATAGATCTCATCGACTTTAGCATCGGTCATTGTGTTCAGAAGCTTACCATCCCGACTAGCCTGGAGGAGGCTTGGTTTTTGTGTCAGAATGATGGACCGTCGACCTTCATTCTTTTCAAGAACTGCAAGCTCGGACAAGGTTTGGCCGACACGAATCTTCTTCATAGAAGCTGCGTTCTTCTTACTTGAGCCGTCCGTGAGCTGGCTGACGGAGAGCATGGCTTTCAACAGGCTATCGGCGAGTTCCACGAAGACATGATCCTCAGTTTTCTGCACGACTTTGGCGGACACGACATCTCCAATCTTCAGAGTTTGAAGGGCCTTTTGTTTCTCAAGGCCAAAAGCAGACGGGTCTTTGCAAGAAACATACAGCTTCTGAGCCTCAATATCAAAGTTGAGCACGTGAACTTCAACGACTTGACCGACGCGGAAGTATTCCTTCGGATCCCGGATGTAAGCCTCGCTCATCTCTGAAACGGGCAAGAAACCTCGGAGCGAGCCATAGAATTGTACAATGGCACCGTTAGCTACAATGCTAATGATTGTCGCCGGTGCCTGCATGCCCACCACCAATTGGTCGAATGAATGCAGTGGCTCAGCCTCCGAGTTGAGCAGGGTCTTCTTGAGAGTGAGACGAACTTGACGCTTGAGAGAATCCGTCGAAAGGACACGGGCCTTGATTTTCATGCCTTCCCTGAACTTCTTCTCTGGATGTTGTAGTTTGACGTCGGCGAGATGGACCTCGGGAACGAAGCCAGTGATACCTTCGGCAAGCTTGACTAGCAGGCCATTGACTCCGTCCTGACCAATGACAAGTTTCTCAATGGTGCCGTCAACGACCTGGCCGACGGGAATATCATCAATGCGCAGGAAGGCCTGCTCAAGAATGTGCTTCTCAAAGGACAATTGAAACAAACCGTCGACTGGGTTGTAGCCCACTACCCGCCCACGATGGACAGATCCTAGTTGGTACGGACCAGAAGACTGTGAAATCATGTCCACCTTTCCATCTTTGAGTCGTGAAATGTGTACAAAACTAGCGACTCCCTTCAATCCAATGTCGACAAAGACTCCAATATCCGGCTCGACCTTCGTGACTGTGCACTTCTCCACAATGCTAGAGATGGCAACAGACTCCGCTGCAGACTTCTTGTCTGGCCCTTGCTGTGAGCTCAAATCCGTAATGTGTTCAAGGAAAGATACACCCAATTTTGGTTCGCTGGATGCTGGAAAGTTGCAGATCACTCGCGCCTTAACCTTTTTGCCGACCTTGAATTTTTCTTCAAGGTCAATTGCCAAAGGACCGGATCCAGAATGAATGTGATCGGCTGTAACATCCAAAGAGCCCATGACCTTTCCGGCGATGCCACGAGCGGAGACTTCCGTGATCAACAACTCGGCTGCAGAACCAGGCAGGAAAGTGTTGATAGTCGTAGCCTCGGAGGGAGCGTTTTGGATCTTGCCCAACTTGCTTTGCAATGTAGTGAGCTGAACAATCTTTCCCTTGGTACCCGAGCTACTGGCCAAACAGAGAAGCACGAAGCCTGGCTGCATTCGGTCCTCTGAAATGGACGGGTCAAGTTCCTTGCGGGACAAGAAACCCTTAACCTTGGAGTTTTCGAGACCAAGGTCCATCACAAATCCATGGTCCTCTACGCTCGTGACAGCTGCCATGACGGTCGTGTTGGTCACAACATCGTTGCTTGATAGACCGCTATTGGTTTGTTCGGGGCGTAGGGATAGCTCAATACGCTTTTTCGGTTTGCCGGAAGCGTCTCCTGACTCCTCGGACGTTGAAGAAACGTACGCTCGAAGATATTGACCAACAGCATAAAGCGACTTCAGGTCAACATCATCAGCTGAAGCCTCCTCTTCCTCCTCTTCTGCCGCTGCTTCGGCAGCAATGCGCTCGTTGAGCGCCTCTGAAATGGATGTGATTGGCACATGGCCGGTCAAGTTGTTTGGAAGAGCGAGCGTAAGGTCGAGGGTGTTGATTTCGGTGACTCGAGCCAGTACCAACGATCCCTTGACCAAACGTTTGTAGTTCAAGCTCTCGATCCTGACAGAGTCGTCAACCGCCTTCGCAGAAGCTGACTTGGTGTCCTTGAGCTGTCCTTTCGACTTATTCTTCTTCAATGCCTTGTCCGTCTTCTTTCCCGACGCCTGCTCGAAGAGCACATCTTGCTTGGCCTGAATCTGAATTTGCTTGTGTTCAAGGGGCGACAGCACGCTACCACCACCACGAGGGAAGAGTGGCTCTTCCTCCTTCAAGCGTGAGACCAAAGGTGCCGTGGCGGGCTTCGAGTCGGCAGGCTTAGACTTGGGGCTCGACTTGGACTCGGTGTTGTTCGTCTTGTCTGATTTTGGCGTTTTCGAGGGCCGGGCGCCGCTGCTGGTTTTCGCAGCCTTGGCGGCAGATGCGCCGCCTCCTGGAGCATCCTTTCTCTTGAGGGAACCCATATTTGCGTTGCACTAGCGCAATGTGTGATTTGCGCAGGTTCAACAGCAGTATGGGAGCTCTTGATGCGCTTTCGGCCAAATAAAAATCGAAGTCTGAGCGGTCGCATTCATTCAACGAAAATTTCCGATAAGAATTGATAAGACGCAACTTTTTAGCGGGGCTTCGCTCTAGCTTTAGGCTACTTTCAGTACCTAGCAGCGTTTGGAGAGTGGCACGAAGTACGTACCTGGGACCCGGGCAGCATTCTCCTTCCACGTTGCTAGTTAAGATTTCGCCTATCAATTGACTGCACACACGGGTCTTGTTGCTACCTATTAGTGAGGGGCTCATGTCTTCGGCTGCCCGCACGCAGTAAGTGCGGTACGGGCTAGGTACGCGGGTACTTCATACATAGTGTACATTTGGTTACCGTATTAGGACTCAATGATATGATCTCCTACCCACAACTGAACGGATACAGTTTGTTATATGTAGGCAATGACACAGCATAGCTTCAAATCAGCAATTTCAAGAGAAGCTGAAAGGAACATGGAATCCCTGCGACGGCCAAATCTGGCTTTGTTTTGTGCTTACGCACGTATAAACAAACAAAAAAGTGAAGCGTAGTTAGCAGGTCAAATTCTTGCCCGGCGCTGATCGGGTGACTCTTTTTAGCGAGGCACCCCCGCGGTCAGCCACCTCTTACTGGCACCTTAAGTACATCTTTAGCCTGTGACATTGAACGTCATACACGACGCAACTCCAAACAACTTCCCAGATTCAGGCAACAGGTTTTTGCAGATATGGACAAGTAAACTGGATTACTTGCGAAATGCATACGCACCAACTGCACAAATACAACACCTCAATATGAGTCCACGGAAGCGAACTAAGCCGAACCCCTCGGGACTCAGCGGCGGCAGCACCACCAGTCTCCCCGCCACACTGCCGTCGCAGCCCAGCACTGGCCGAAGTCTTGCGACGGCATCGGGAGAGCTTTCCACGAAGGATCAAAAGCAGCGCTCTGCCCTATCGAGTTCTCAACAATCCAGCGACTCAAATGGGAGCCAAGTACCCTCGAAACAGGTGAGTTCCTGATTCTCGTTGCGTCACACTCGATTGGAGGCTTATCTATCTATATAGGTGCGAAAGTCGGGATCTTGGTACGGCTCGCTGGGGCGGAAAGCCTCAGCTTCCACTCAAGTCGCCAAAGAGACTATAATGGGAGGAACCGTGAGATCAAAGACAACTGTGGATTTGAGCCGTTTTGAGCCGAAGAGAAATGCAGAAGACCTTGCCGATTCCGATGCCCAGTCAACAAGAACAATGCCTAAGATTCATGAAAACGATGGGCCATCCGCGCCGGATACAGCTACCGAGAGTGCTCAGGCAACATCAAAAGACAGTGAACCTACGAAAGAGTTGCAGAATAAATTAAAGCTCGGGGAAGAGGCTGACACCGATATGACGGAACCAGAACAACCAAAGGTCTCCAATACGCCGGGAGCGGCACAATCAACAACATCTTCGGGTTGGTTTGGGGGATGGTTCGGCGCACCTACTGCGCCTATTGATAACACGTCAAACGAGCATGCTCCATTAACGGATGTGCCCAGGAGCCCAGAACCCGTCCAGGCACAACCACCAGTGGAAACTTCATCTGAAGGTCCACCGACCGCTGTGCCAGAAACGCCAACGTCTGGAAGGCCAACCAGCTCGTGGTTAGGCTACTGGTGGAATACCACTGCCGAGTCGGAAACTCCACAAAAAGACTCAAACCATAAGCCAAACACCGAAACTGTGCAAGCCAAGGAAGACGAGGATGTGGTTATGAAAGATGCACCACCTCCCCCAGCTTCGGTGGAGAGTCAACCTTCAGCTGGCTCGACGTGGGCTTTCTGGTCCCGCGACACTGGCTCTAAAGACCAAGGCGGTCAAGTAAAAGCTACACAGGAGCCGGGTGAACTGGCCGTGATAGGTGAGGGCTCAGAAGCAAATCCTCAGCAGTCTACTGGCGTCAAGGTCAAAGATGGCGCCGCATCGATGAAGGAGGCTCATTTGAACAAGAGCGCCAAGGAAATCCCTGTCAACAAAACCATCAAGGAAACTCCTATAAGCAAAACAACGAAAGGGTCACCTACAAAATCAGCGACTTTAAAGGCGAGCAAAAGGGGAAGGCCTCAATCCGTGGATCTTGACGAACCCACCCTCTCGCGACCTGATACCCCAGTCAACAAGGCCGCGGGAGCAAAGCTCGACAGCCCTACTTCGGTCAAGGCGTCGCCTCCGAATTTACTGTTGCCATCATTTCGAAGCACTTACCAGATGAAACAGAATCCTTCCATCATTAAGCAGATCACTCGGCTTTTGCTCAGAACGCAGCAACCATCGGCGACACACGTATATCTAGCGAAAGAACCTCCCAGAATCAAAAAGGCCATTGCCATAGGTGTTCGTAAGTAGTTTGTTGTTATGATTTCTTTTTCTCCCCCATCTGGGTTTTGTCCTGCCGGTTGGAAAGCCAAAGGTTGAACGTGGAGCTGCCACCTTCTAGATCAGAAGCGTTTGCTGACTCATATGTGGATAGATGGCTTATTTCCAGCAATATACTTGAGACCAATGATTGGACAACCTACAGGCACATCAATTCGCTTCGCCAATCACTGTGCCGATGCCATCAGGAGGTGGGCTGACAATCATGGCTGCGAGGATTGCGAGATTGAAAAAGTTGCCCTCGAAGGCGAAGGCAAGATCGCAGACCGTGTTGACAATTTGTGGAAATTGCTTCTCAATTGGATCGATCACATTCGTAGTGCAGACTTGATCCTGGTTGGTTGTCATTCACAAGGAGTGCCCGTCGGTCTAATGCTCGTGGCCAAGCTCATTGACCTCGGCGTCATCACAAATGCGCGGATAGGAATATGCGCAATGGCAGGCGTGTCACTCGGCCCTTTCCCAGACTACAAGTCAGGAATGGGAATGCTCATGGGATCTGTAGCCGAACTATGGCAATTTGCGGACCCCTCGAGCGAGATAGCTCAAAGGCTGGAGCATGCTGTGAAGACTGTACTCGAACACGGATGCCGAGTCACATTCATTGGCAGCATTGACGACCAGGTGGTACCGATGGAGTCAGCTGTGTACTCACCAGCGGCCCATCCTTACATATACCGAGCTGTGTTCGTCGATGGTCGGATTCACGCTCCCGATTTTATCGCGCATCTGGTTGGATTTGCACTCAAGCTTCGCAATTTAGGCGTGTCCGACCAAGGACTAATTCGAGAATTATCTGTTGCCTTGGCCGGCAGCCTGTACTCTGGAGAAGGGCATTCCCGCCTTTATGATGACGAGCAAGTTTATGAGTAGGTTGAAATTCCTCGATTCCCTGTTCACCCAACTTTTTTTCTGGATCACTCCAGATGCGCATGCCTCGGTCTCGGCTAACGTGAAAAAACCACAGCCTAGCTGTCTCTCATGCCCTCGAAACGACGGATGTAGGCACGGTCCCCTCCCGGGTCGACAAACATGAAGGAATGTCCAGTTCCAATCCGTACATACTCCCATGGATTATGCGCGGCCTTCTAGAAGAAGGCATTGTCAAGACAGAACTTTCGGCAGAGACGGCAGAGCTGCTCCAGCAATTCGACGACTGGAAGCCTGTTACCAAAGCCCTCAAGGATATCAAATTCCGTCTCGAGGCCGTTCGATCCAGATTATAGCGGACAATTCAGTGATGCTACCTATAAAGGATACAACGGAGTTGTAGGGCGTTACTGGGATGGCCTCGTTACTGCATGGGACACGAACGCCCCGAATTTTGCTGGAGTTGAGGGAACATTCGCGGGTTACTTCATTATTGCATGGTCGGAATATAGTCATTTATCAGCATTGCATGGCTTGCGCAGGCGAGAATTGCATTTATTATATAATTTTAGACAAGACATATACATAGACGAGTTGCACAAGAGAAGGCCAGGCAATCAAATTCTTTTCATATGGTCTTTCGGTAGACTGCTGAAGCAACCGCAAGGCACATGGATTGTAGGGTACCGTGAAGGCATGTGTGCATAAAAAAACTCCGTCCTTATTCAAATATTTCCATCAGAAGTTGCAGCTTGTGGAATGTCTCGAGCATAAAAGCTGAGCAGTTTTTCCATCCAAACAATAAGCTCCTGCCAAGTATACTCTAATGTAGAGCTTACAAGTATGTATGCCCCGCTGAAGCTTCAGGGAGATTTTTGGGGGGACGAGCAACGTTCCCCAACGGCCGGGGTTCTTTCGGGGGCCAGTATGGAGTTAAGAACTTCAGGGGGAAAACAAGGATCGGCGAACTTTGGAAATTTCTGGGTTCCAGAAGTATTCCTTGGGGGGCCAACGAGCCATTTGCCCGTGGTACTCCTTGATTTTTTTTGAACTCGAACGGCTTGTTGAGGTGAGGCTAGAGTTGGAACAATGCACTAATCTACCGCCTGTGCATGGAGAAATGCCACTGGCATGGAAGTATAAATAAAAGAAGAAAAAAGGTCTTTGTCGTCCCAAGGGTATGTATTTATTGACAGTCCCGGGGGGTCAATAATATCAATGTGGTACATGATTGATGGCGATTTCCTCCTTTGATGACTGGGTCCGCTCACTCTAAGGCCAGGGGGAAGCACTAAGCCGATCGCCCATGCCTACATGTTCCTGTATCCACTGTTTTGCGGCTATTGACTCCATCATGGGATGGCCAGGAGAAAGTGACGTGCCATTCGTTCGCGACATTCCTAGACAGTTGACCTAGAGATGGAAAAGTAAAGTTTTATCTTGGGCCAAGGAATCTTTTGGCCTACCTACCTGCCTGCCTACCTGCCAGCTACCTTGTACGGCTACGCCCCCAGACGATAATAACCCCCAACTGTGAAAACACGAAAGCAGAAGCAGCAGCTATCCTCGCCCGGCCATCGCCAAGCTAAAGCACAGATTCCGTCCGAGTGGTGACCAATCAACAGCTATCCCTAGCATCACCCACCCAGCCGGCGGCTCTAAACTACCTACGAAGTAGTAGTAGTAGCTGTTGCGTAAGGATAGTGCTTGTTCCCTTAGGTCCAGATTGCAATCCGGCATTCTCGGGGCATTGGGGAATCGATGATGGGCCTTTGCGATACGCCAACCTACTAGATGATGATGCTGCGAAAAAGCACAAGCTCAGTTTTCACCATGTAAGCAAGCTACCACCCGAAGTTCAGCTATACCCGTCCTCCCTCCGTCCCCGTACCAAAATCACATCGCGTGCGCCGCATGCTAAGACAACAACCTCGCCGAAAGTCGGCTACGTGGGACGCGCCCAGGGCGCCGTGAGCAGGTGTAGTGTGAAGACAACGATCGATCATAATAGTGATCATGGCCCTGTTAAACCCGACATTCATATTCGGGGTCATTGTGCTTGCCTACATCGCTTCCTTCGTCGTATTCGCCCTCCTACGCATCGTCACTGGCCTGTCAATCCAGCGCATCGGTTATTTCTCCCTGCGACGTTTAGCATACACCCCCAAGGATGGCATCAAGATCGAGATACGGGGGCTTGGCCTCAACGTACACCGCCCGACTTTCTCGCAGCCTACATGGCTGAGTATTGTCGTTAGCGAACTCGCCGTGACGGTCGATATCAAGGCGCTCGAAGGCCACAAGGCCGGCACTGCGGTGGAGGAAGACGATGGCGGTGCCGGTCAAGACGACTGCAAGTCTGAAGAGAAGGACAAGCCCATATTCCCTCCGAAGCGAAGAACCACGCTTCCCCGTCGCGCCACCTTTGGCGCCGCACGAAGCGAGACATGGAAGCAGCTGATGAAGACAAAGGAGAAGATCAAGAGACTTCACAGGAATATCCATTGGCTGCGATTGGTTGATGTTGTGGCCACCGACTCGACAGTCAATATCGTCGACGTGGGCAAGATACAATGCGGCAGCTTCACCGTTGCAGTCGACACGCGGCGCAAGATGGTCGATCGCGCCCGCTTCTTTTTCCAGACCAGGGCCGAGAAGAACAGACAAAAACAACAGGCCGAATGGATCGTCACACTGCGCAGTGTACTATTCACCGCACAGGGCGGCGAGGCATCTGAGATTCTCGACAACGCTGTCCTCAACGTTCATGGGTTCCTTTACGAACAGCTGGACGGCCTTCGGGATGCCACAATCGCCCTCAAGCTTGGCCGCGTCCACGTACCATACGACGATGTGCAAATCTCCATGGAGCGCTTTCAAACGCAAAAGCGCCTGTACTCAAAGGACTATCACACAGTGGAGGCATTCGATCTCTCCGTCGACAATGTCATTCAGGAGCTCGACGAACCCGGCAGTACAGATCAGGACATTATGCAAACCGTATCAGATTCGAAGGAGTTCGTGAGCTCCATCTTGAGAGGTGTGAAGGAGGTCCAATTTGCAGTTAGTCTTGTCGGAGTGAGCAAAAAGGTCATGACGGTCAAGGCGTCCGGCGCACCGCTTCTGCTCAACTTTTCCATGAAGGAGGTGGGTATAGATCTGCATCGTTTAGATCCAAAGTCGCCAGCCCATCGCATGTACTTCCCATCCAAGGATCTCGCACACGAAGCATTGGCTGCTGCTCTGTCTATATCAATTGGGCTGGATGATGGGCACGGCAAACCAGAACGGTTGGTCTATATACCAATGGCCACCACGACAGTCAGGACTACTTTACCCTCCAAGACGGTAGAGCTTTCAGACCACGTGAGCGCCGATGAGAGGAACGCCAATATTCTTTTCGCCAATAGTGTCGTGACTTCGCCATCGGTTGATCTCGATCCCAAGCATCTTCCCATTCTCGTTGCTCTGCTTCGACCGCAGCCCAAGGCACCGAAAGCGCAAGTACAACAACGCCACAAGTTGATATCGCGACTCTTGCCAAAAGCAAACATCAAATTCACCATGCACGAGCCTGTCTTTCGTGTTGCTCTACCTCCAGTACAAAAGACAGATGATCCGGATGATTTTGACCTCATCATCTCGTCCATATCGTCGATATCGTTGGATGTGGAGTCTTTCCATTCGACCGTCGAAGATATGCATTATTCGCTCGTTTCACAAGCACGGGTGCAGACGCACAATCTCTACTACCAGACTGCGCAAGGAGGGAGGTTTGATCTTGTCGACACGGAGTTTTTTGACTTGAAAGTGACGCTGGGAGCTAATCCTGACGTGCATGTCATGGCGAATGGGCATCTTCAGTCCTTGGCTGTGCATATGGTGCGCCCTGAGATCGCGACCGGTGTACGCCAGATCATTCGACAGCTCCGTCTCGATGTCGAGCCTGATAAGCGTGCTCGATCGAGAACGCCAAAAACACAAGGTGGACTCCGAGGACTGCCATCATGGCTTTTACACTTTCAGCTATCAGTTGATGATTTTAGTGTTGAAGTCGCTGGCGTTGATGACGATTTCCCCAATCACACCCGGGGACTTGCACTACAGATCGATTCGTGGTCTGCAGAATATCGTGCTCAACGCATGGACCAACATTTACGGCAGCGTCCCGCGTCTAGAAGGCGAGCTGCAAGCCGAGCAGTGATACCTGACCCTGAAGTATTCAAGGCAGTGCCATCTCCTTCTTCGCCCAAGAAGAAACTGCCTGAGCATTACACCGAAGGCGATGGGCGCAGAATTGCTATCCATGTTCATGGACTGGAGGCCTTCATCATTGATGGTGAAGAGAAGTGGGAAGCTGACCCCTTTGTTCATTTGCCTCGATTCGAAGTCGCCCTGTCCACTTCCACTGACAAGCAAGGTCCCGTTCTGCATGTCCACTCACATATGAAGACATTGATGCTTCAATATTCCCTATATCGGCACTATGCAGTGGGTGTTGCAATCATGGTGCTGGGAAGAGCATTCATGAGAACGAAACGAGAGACAACCGACATTAAAACCAAGCAGCATGCGGCAAATAGCCCTTCCATTGACGATCATTTGGCACCCCCAATTCTATCGCCTGGCTCGCCCGCGGTGGATCAAATGAGCTACTCCAGTCGTCCAGTCAAGGAGCTTGTGACCATTGATGTCAAGGCGTCCATGATCCAGATCAAGGCAGATTTACCTTCCGATCCCGCGGTCATGATCCAGATATGCAATGTCGAAACTGGTCGCCATAGGTGGTCTCCACCATTCTTTCGTGCTAAACTTGTGCGCATGTTTGCTGGCGCACCACGGATGCAAGGTGTCTGGTCGAGGATCGCCAGTGTTCATTCCTTCCGAGTTGACTATCGCGAATCTCGAAAGTTCAGTGCCTTTGGCTTCCATGATGATAAGATGTTCGACATCAACGCAGACGCGATGCGGATAGCTGTTCCGTACGAGCTGATCATACACAAGATCTCGGACAGCTTCATAAATGTCATCAAAGCCTCTGCCCAGCTTCACCACCGCTTCAAGACGGGCACAAATGAGTACATCCTTGAAAAGGGCCCCGAAGGTCCAAAGCACGTACCCAAGATTTCTGTACGAACCCGACATCTGCTGTTTGAGCTAGAGGATGGAGCATTTGAATGGAAGTTGGGCATGATCTATCGAGCTGGACGTGTAGAGCAGCTGCAGAGACTAGCCCGAGAAGATGCATATCGTGTCAAGGTCAAAAAGATCCATGAGGAAGAGATCCGCAAGGAGACTAACCGGCTACGCAACCGTTCAGTGATGACTCGGGGTCGCACCAAAGATATGAATGTGTCTTGGAATCGAAGCAGGAGTGAGGATGAGCGACCGCGGACCGCTATGGACGGCCGGCCGCCAATGGATAATCTTCGGGGCAGGAATCGGCCGCGATATGACCCTGATGGTTGCGTTGGGTTCAGCGGCAGCGCCCATGTCACAATTACAGAGGCGAGACAGCGACTGAACGAGCACAATGCGCAGAGTTGGAGAAAACGTATCGATCGCCATTACCAAATGGCTAGGGAGAGCGCCACGGAGCTTCGTGGCTTGTTTTGGCCACCAGATCACCTTCCGGACGATGTGGAGGACCATGAAAAGATCCTCGAGGTTCCTCAGCGTCCGGCACTCATGGGTGCCATCATTGAAGATTTGCACTTCATGATTGACAAGCCATCTTTCCCGATATCCAAACTGCCAGACTTTCTTCACGATGTCGGAAAGGGGCAGCCCAAAGACATGAAATACTCTCTGCTCGTTCCGATGAATGTCCAGATCAGCATGAGTCAAGCTAGATTGTCGCTGCGAGACTATCCCTTGCCACTACTACACATTCCGGCTCTCAAATTGGGCCAGTCTTCACGCCTCCCTGCAATGCACCTCAAGACTGACTTTGTGATTGCGGAAGAATATCGCGGAGCAGAGTCAACAAGGAGAATCAAGGTTCAGATAACGCCACCAAGCGCCAAAGAACCAGGGCAACCAGCCGGAGGAAGCTTTGCGATCGACGTCCGCCGCACGATAGGACCCGTGAAGTCGTATTCTGATATGCACATTGACATGAACACGGCCTATCCCACCCGAATCACTTGGGGTCCTTCATATCAGCCAGCGATTCAAGACATGATGATGGTGATTGAGTCCTTTACCAAACCCCAATTGGACCCCTCTGAGAGGGTTGGTTTCTGGGACAAGATCAGACTCAACTTCCATTCTCGTCTCCGGGTCGCTTGGAAAGGTGACGGAGATGTTCATCTTGCGCTCAAAGGTACAAGAGACCCATACAACGTCACCGGTAATGGTGCCGGATTTTTGATGTGTTGGCGCAATGATGTCCGCTGGAACATCAATGTTGAAGACGAGCCGAAGAGGTTCATGACCGTCGACAGTGGTGAATACGTACTTGCCATTCCCGACTATAGCCACCAGGAGCGTGAGGTGGCCCGGAGAATGGGCGAGGGCGACAGTGTCGCAAGCGGCGATAGCTACAGATCTGGCGCGTTATTCAAGAAAGTCGTCATGAAGTTGTCTGGTAACGTGCAGTGGATGGCCGGTCTTGTTTTTGAGAAGGCGATCGGTGCCGACGGCCGCCGCAGTTTCGACTTCAAGCCACACTACGACGTTGTACTCAAATCCCCTCACCACGCCAAACCAGAAGGAGGCCAACCCTACGATGCTTTCAGGGGCTTCAGAAGTCAGCATATCCATCTCTCTATTGGCATTAGTGCCCCAGTCGATATGGATTGGAAAGCTGCGGATCAGCAAGTCTCAAGGAGCTACAATACTGTGCACTTGACACCACGCTTCTTTACTCACTTCTTTGCCTGGTGGTCGACATTCGGTGGACCAATGTCCCTCCCTGTTCGTCAAGGCTCTCTGTGGCCTGGCAGGGAGAAGAACAGCAAGAAGTTCGGCCGTCATCTTGGAACAATCAAGTATAATATACTACTTGCACCACTCTTCATGAGTCACATCTACAAACACAAGGACGCCGAGGACTACTCAGAGAGCTCAGTATCGGCCACAGGTATCAAGGTCAGATTTGACAGCTTCATGCTTGACATGCATCAGCGCAGAGAGGAGTTCAGCACCACCGATCGTGGTCGAGATACGCAAAGCAGGACAACAGCCATGAAGATCCATGCTGCACAATTAGATCTTGTATCAGCAGATGTGCGCGCTGTCTCTGCTAGCATCAAAGGCACCACCACTGAAGCAATCAAGAAAAACTCGCTCTCGACGCTCATTGCGCAGGGCGAAGAAGATGGCACCGACCTCTCGCACTTCACGATTCCGGATAATGACTTCAGCTGGATTGACATGGACGATTTCGTTGAACTCGACTGGATTCTCCCATCAGAACCCAACCCCGACACAAAGATCCTTCCCCTTGCTTTTGCGCCAAGAGTCACCTACTTTAGGCAGACAGATATCGGTGACACCATTGCTGGAGACCCAGACCGCACGAGTCCTTTTGGAAATGAGCCCACGCACTTGTGCATAATGAGCCAAGATGACAACCCCCGTGAGGTTCAGCAACAGCTCATAGAGCAAAGACTTTCTCAACTTGACACGCAGATTGACAACAATGTCAGGCTCGTCGGAGAGAAAGAACTGCACTACATCAGAGAAGGCAGCAACGATCCGCAGCTGAAAGCCGAGTACGAGACTTTCAACAGGCACACTGATGTCCTACATGACAAGCGCACTTTCATGCAGGGCATGCTGAAGAATGTGTCAATGAACACTGCATCAACTGATGCCGACTCATCCACCAGCGGTTCATCCAATATCCCGGGGCTCTCCGAGGATCCATCTTCTTCTGGCGACGAAGCCCGAGGACCGACCGGAGCCGACTTTGCGAGCGATTTCAAGAATCGTTTTGTGATTCACAATATGCAACTCAAGTGGAACAACCTGCTGCGCAACATCATTCTTCGCTACAGTCATCAAGTGAGCCAACGCCGAGGTTTTGTGTACTACCTCTCTCGGCCCGCCGTCAAGTTCATTCTCGACATTGTTGAGGAGCAGGCCAAAGCAAAGGGCAAAGACAAGCCCGGGAGCACCGCCACCCCCGATAAGGACGACCAAAGCGCGACACCCCAATCCACTAACAGCCAAACCAAAGGAGTCGCGCAGGATATTGAACACCGCATCAAGCAGATCATACAGGATGGCCGCAAATTTGTCGACGCAGGTGGTGAAAGCATCCCTGGCGAGCCTTCGGCCAATGTCAAGATGGATGATCTCACTTCAGGCATTGCTGAGGACTTTACGACCCAAAGCAGTTACCATGTTCGACTGATTGGTCCTCAAATCCAACTGCAGAGCGACAGAAATAAGAACAATGCCGTGTTGATCACCGCCAGGAGCATGGAACTCAAGGTCGTCGAGGTGATGGAAAAGGCACGACTCTCAGATATGGTCTCTGGTCTTGTCCAGCGGCGTTTTCTGGTCGGAATGGACGGCACTCAGTTCTTTGTCACTCATCAGAAGTGGTTCACCGGGCAGTATCTCTCCATGTACTCTGGCAATACGTACGGCGCACCGAGCGGCTCATCATGGCCACCATGGGTTCCAATGGAGGTCATGTTTGACTTTGAGTCGGATCCATTCGGTTTCAAGAGAGTTGTGCAGAAGACCTCAGCTTTGCTTCGATACGACAAGTACAACACGCTCCGTCTCAAATACAACGACGACATTCACGACAGTGAGGGTGCAGACAATGACTCAAACGAGAACGCAGAGAGCCGAATGGACAACCTCTGGGTTGAGTTCCCTCAAGCCCGAGCGCTCTGTAACTCTTCACAGTACTATGCAATTTATGTGATAGTGCTGGACCTTTTGCTATACAGTGAGCCGCTCGAGAAGACGAGAAGCGAACGACTGGAGAAGATCATGCTCGCGTCAGACTTTAGTGACCTGCGAGGCACTCCTGAAATGGTCACCAAGTTGCAGGAGCGCATCCGTCAGTTGCAAGAGATCAAGACACACTTCCAGGTCCACTCGAAGTACCTCGACAAGAAGGGATGGCACGATCGTCTGCTACTCGAGCGTGACTTGGCGGCATGCGAGGATGAGCTCTTCTTTATGATGAAGGCCATAACAACGTCCCAGCGCAAGTACGACACTGCATCTCAGAGCAATGCACTGCTGAGATGGAGTATCTCTGCTCGGGAGATTGTATGGCATCTCATCCGGGACAATCATGAGCCCTTGGTTGAGTTACAGCTCAGGGATGTGGAGTACGACAGGACCGATAACTCAGACGGCTCGCACATCAATCTTTTCCAGGTTGGCAAGGTACTAGGACTCAATTTACTTCCAGACGCAATGTATCCGGAGATGGTAGCTCCATATATTATTGACGACAAACTGAGCATGATGGATTTCCAGAACCAACAGATGGTACGGGTTTACTGGCACATGCTCGAGGCCATTGCGGGCATTCCCGTCATGGACCACTTCGAGGTCAATTTATTCCCACTCAAGATTCAGCTAGAACGTGACGTCGGGAAGAAGCTTTTCGAGTACATATTCCCAGAGATGGAAGATGAAGAAAGCAAGAATGAGCATGAACAAGCAGACTCGCCGACCATGATGCGACATGGCGGTAATGACAATGATGATGACTACCAAGACGATTCGGGAAGCCTTCGCCTTGGCGGTTCTGTCATTTCCGACAAGGACTCTGGTTTCAACACTAGAGCCGGCTCGCTTGAGCTCAGGCTTCGACCAACTCTGACCTCGGACGCTCAGACGCCAGAAACCACGCCGCAGAAGAGCAAGGCTCTCAGTGTCCACTCTGGTGACGGTGGCAGCGTTTTTCGTCTCTTCAACTCCAAGGCTATCAGCAAAAAGCCTTCACACGAATCGCTGCGGGCCAGTCAGAATACGCCCCGTCCTGGCATTGGCCGCTCAGCGACTATTGCGTCCAATACATCAGCCGAGAATAAGAAGTCATCGCGATTCGCTCTGAGCAAATCTGGCAAACCATCAGAGGACAAGCCATCTGATGACTTGAGCATGATGATTGATCGTGCCTCGCAGTACATGACCTTTGCTTATATCAAGATGCCATCTGTAGTCTTGTGCCTGAGCTACAAAGGCAAGGGCGATCGCAACATTGAGGATGTGCATGACTTTGTCTTCCGTCTCCCCACCATTGAGTACAGGAATAAGACGTGGTCTAACCTGGATCTCGCCTTGGCTCTGAAATCCCGTGTCATCAAAGCACTCATTTCCCACACAGGCGCCATCATTGGAAACAAGTTCAGCAAGCATCGTCCCTCGGGCAAGGAAAAGGAGCGGCTTCGGGAGATTGCGACAAACAGCGTCCTTCTAGCGACACCACCGATTGGCGCCAGTAGAGAGAACAGCGATGACTCTTCAAGCATGTTCGGAACGAGCCCAGTCGACTACTCGCGAAGTCCGCCGCGGAGTATCACGGGCAGTCAAGGTAGTGGCAACGCGCTGCAACGAAGCACCTCGAGGAGTAGTGCCAATGCTCTGCAGAGAAGTACCTCACGAAGCAGCAGCGTAGCGTCGAGCCGGCGCGGTAGTAGACCAAATCCCACCTTGAATACGTTTCAAGGGCACACCAATGGTCAAGGCAATGTGCCAACCTTCCTTATGATGACACCGCCTACACCACAGGACAACCCCAGGCCTTTGGCTACACTGGGACATGATCTGAGACCCAAGACTAGTTCAGGGGACTTTAGGCAGAAACCCAGCGCTGCAAGTACCTTGAGACCACTCAGCAGGGGCAGCGCCCTCGACATTCCAGAGCCCAGGTTCGACCTGACCAGGCGCGCCACTGGCGCGCCGCCCAATACTGGCAACACGGGCGGCCTCTCGGGACTCAAGGGCAAATTCAGCGCATTAACCCATCGCCTCAAGGATCGTGAGAGCAGCGCATCAAGCAAGGCATCCAGCGGCGGGGCCACTAGTGAAGAGAGTGGCTTGGCCCGAGAAGAGGAGATGGAAATAGACTTCGCCACCAAGCAGGCTACTGACGAGCCAGCAAATAGAAAATTTGGGTTTGGTGGTCGATCCAAGACGGGAATCTAAAAGTCAATGGACATGTGAGGGAAAAAGGAAACTTGGAACAAGATAATATGTTCATGAAAGCATGGAGGAGTACGATGGTGTTGGGAGGTTCTCATTTTATACCAGCATGGAATCTATATACTTGCCGATGAGAGAGGAGAAGAGCAGAGCCGAAGAAGGCTTTAATCAGCAATGTGCTGAGAGCACATATTGGGAGATAGGAGTTAGTGCAGTTGTTCAAAGTGAACAAAAAGAAGGAGATAGAAAGAAGCGTAGCTGATAGTTTTGAATCATTCACTCAAAAAGTTTCATACATACTTTTTCCATATGATTAGCCATTTTGTGTAACGCGATGACTCTTTTGAATTTCCCATGTAGACTAATTGCTTGCTTGCTTATACATTCCAAATACAATTTTTTAAACATCATCAGTCGCTAATTTTTACCCAAAAACCTTTGTATGTACCAATTAGAATATCCAGTACACAACTACCAAAGTAAGAGCAGATACCCAATATTTCGCACTCCCGAATATCACGACAATAGGGCCGTTTGAAAGCAGTACTGGTGTGCCCAGGGTATCAGTATCGTCAATGCTGCACACCTTGTGGCACGTGTCACCATCGTCGTCATCATCCCGCGGGGACAACCAGCTCCTACTCGACAGCCGGTGCTTGGCGCCGCCGCTATTATCAGAGGCCTCGGTATCGTCGGTGGCATTATAGACGAGCTCGATCCACTGGATCTGGAGGTAGGCCTCGTCGCCGACGGACATGTTGCCGCTCCAGTGGGCGCCGTCGGACCACATGTTGAAGATGACGGAGCTGGGGTCGCGCGGGGTCTGGAAGCCAATCTGGCTGACATTGACGCCGTCGACGTACCACATGGTGCTCGAGGGGCTCCAGTCCATGCGGTGCACCGCCCAGTCGTCCCATCCCACGGGCACGGTGGCGTTGCGCGTCGCCCGGTCCACGGGGTCGCCCTGGCGGTTGTAGGCCGGCTGGTTCGTGTACTGGATCACGTCGGGAGGGTCCATGGTGCGGATTTCCAGGTCGGCCTCCTGGATGGCGTTGGGGTCGTCGGATCCCCGGTACGTGAACATGGCCGCAATGGCGCCGGGGGGCCCGACGGTGCGGGCGTACATGCGCGCCGAGGCATAGTGGTAGGCCTGGGCAATGGACTCGAACTCGGCGGCCGTCTGAAACTCGTCCAGGCGGACGGTCCGCAGCGTCAGGTACGTCTCAGAGCCGGCGTCAGGGTCCGTATTGGCGTCAATGTAGACATTGGCGGGCGAGTTGACCATGAAGACGTTGGCGTCGCCGTCGTCGAGGTTGGCGCTATTGTTCCACTGCTGAATGCTCCAGGCATCGGTCCACTCGTCCGAGTTGAAGTAGTCGCTGGCGACGTCGGCGTTGCTGGCCGCGTCCGGGTCCGAGGCGTACGACGAGGGCACGTTGACCAAGTCCGACCGGGACCGGAAGTCGAAAAATTTGTGCGTCTTGAAAAAGGTCCCAGTGCTTCCATTGGTGAGGTAACAGTCGCAGTTACTGTCGACGGTCATCTTATACTTGATGGCGGCGACATTTTGCACAAGCATGAGCAATGTGCCCAATAATAAGACCCCCACTCGTGTAGTGCCCATTCTGGTCGTGTTGATATAGTCGTTGGTGCTTCTCAAACGATGTGCTCCGCCGTGGAACCCAAGGAAAGACGCCTGTATCACCCAGTTCACTGGCCTCGTAACTCCAAGCTCTCAGCAATACCAGGTAGCCAGCCTTTAGGAAATGAGCAAGATGATCAAGCGAGGGGAAACTGTTTTGTGTAGGCGCACTTGTCAAAGGCCCCGACTTGACGTCCTCGAAATCATGACGAATGCATGGGAAGTTACATGCGGGTCTTGCTGGAGTCCAGTATAGGGATATATAGAAGATGAGAATAGGGCAGAGACAGAAAATCCCCACGTTTGTGTTAAAGCAAGACACTGCCCACCAATGTAACCCCACGCCATTGATTGGAACGAGAAGAGGGAAACAAATAGAGAAGAACCAAGATGCAGGGTCTTATACATTGGTCACATCCCGAAAGAAGACCAAAAGTGGACGGACGCAAGAGGCAAGGCGAACGGAAACAAGGGGAAACACACGCTCTGGGCGCCCTCATGAATCCGCACAGACGGGGGGGTGCTTGGTGAAAAGAAGACTAAGAAGATCCGAGGACCTACCAACATACTTACCGAGAACGGCCCATGCGACAGACCGAGAAAGAAAAAAAGAACTTGGGGAATTCAAAACGCCTAGACAAGAATAGACTCTTCTTAGTCTAGCTGGGGCTCCTCGTTTCGATCAATTGATCTAATCTGGCCGTTCCCATTGTGAAAAAGCAGAAGGGAAGGGAACATTAGCTGTATTGGGCAATGCAGGCTAATATTGGATAATATCAAAAGCCGCGTCTGCCTCGTGGATAAATCCGTATAGTGCAACATTGGTGACGTTGGACGAGAAGTAAAGATATAGAGAGAAAGACAGAAGCGGATGAAGTCGTAACAGGCAACGCGAGGCAGAACCGTGGGTGTGCTGGTGCTGAGAAGCAAAGCCAAGCTCCCTCCCGGGTTGACGGGACGCGCCGCGAATAGATTCAGCTGGGCTGTATTCTCCAAGTATAGCACGCAGCAGCATAAGCGACTTTGAGAAATGACATCGATCGCATGTGAGTGAGGCCTCACCGATGACACCAATGTAACATATTGCTAAAGCCCATCCCGAATTATTGCAGCTCAGAGTGCCAAGATGAATCTCGGGCTGTACTCTATAGGGAGCAATCGATATTACCCTTTGCCTCGTACATGACCTCTCCAGATGAGCGGATAGAAAGAAAGATGAAGGAAAACACGCGACGAGAATGCGGGTTGGCGGGGCCACGGAACATCGGCAGCGGCTCTGAAAGAGGCCATGGTTTCACAAGAAGCGCCATATTGGCTTATACATAAACTGAGAAGAAAATGCACGCAACCGGTTGGAGCTTTTCGAGCAAAGGTACATGTAAAGACAAGAACAGAGCCTGTGCTAGCTTGCCTTGGGTAGGTACGGGGAGGAACACGGGCGCCCGCATAGACATTGCATCTTGCCATGTCTCTTTGTAGACAAATATCGAAAGAGCTCGTGCATGCAGAAAAGGCACAAACTCAATAAGACCAGGGGGCAGGAAGGACTAGCTTGGGGAGGCTTGAGGACTGGTGAGGTATGAGTTGTTCCACCCACTCTAATGACAAACATAGCTGTAGCTTGCATGTAAAGCATTGCCTCACAGTCAATGCTCAGAGGAAAGTTGTGATTGGATAAAGACTGATCAATCCAGATGGGTGCGCGAGGGCCATAGGACCAACTAGCCGGTAGTGCATTCAGGAACACGAGACGGGTCAGACACCAGATGTGATTTGTGACTGAAAGCAAGGGGGCAGATGAGCTGGAGTAGAACAAGCGCCGAATTCCTGGGCTTTAGCCAAGACTTGACGTTGAAAAAGTAACATTTTTTTATTGCTTTTTTGCACCGAAATACAGAAGAACAGTGAGGTGCCTTGACCGTAGGTCCCCTTGTACAAGATCCCATGTGCATTCCTAATAAGTCAAGGTCTGGTTGAATCCATCCAACCTCAGTTCAGGCAAATTATAGTTCCGCTCCGGAGATCTTCCCATGGATTCTAGGTAGGTACCTAGGTACTGCAGCTGCCCAGCGACGGATACACCCGGGCAATGGCGCCAAAGTGGATCCATTGCTGCGATAACGATAAGCGACGCTCATCAAGGTTCTACCAACTAGCCAGCCTACCTAGGTAAGCTTTGTAGGCGCAAATGTCGCCAAGCTGTGAGAGATGCTATGACTTCACCTGCCACTACCAATCTTTGCGACGCTTTGGCGCCAACGCAAGCACTTTTGAATTAACACCCCCAAGCATCTTGGACCCCCTTTACCCAGCCAGTCATTGTCTGCTCTGGCGCCAACTTTGCAGATCATTACAAGTTTCATGCCTTCTTCATATTCAGGAAGCGACGGGCTTGTTCGCAATGGCTTCTTCGAAATCGTCATCTAAATCTCCTACGCGCGAGGCTGGCCCTTCCTCAGATCCACCCCACGAACCAGCCATCACTGCCGAGCATGCAGAGGAACCTCAGGACAACGACGCAGCCGTTACAACAACCGCCATTGCTGCACAATCACCAGATGATGAGAACGATGATGGCGCATCCCTAGAATCAGGCGAAGCGTCACCTGTTTCAACCCCAGCAAAGCCTACCAAGAACGCAGACGAAGAAGCACCACCGCTACCCAACGAGCCCCCGCCAGCGCAAGAGGATGATGGCTGGGAGTTCCACTGGGATGAAGCCAATCAGGCATACTATTTTCACAATCGTGTAACGGGACAAAGCACATGGGAAAACCCGCGGATATCAAAGGAGGCGGGACCGGCTGGGGGAGAGGCTAGCGCAGCCGGTGCAGAAAGTGTGGCAGAGCCACCCAAGAACGAGAAACCCCCGGCTGGAGGTTACAACCCGGCGATTCATGGCGATTACGATCCAAATGCCTGGTATGCGCAAAGCAACGACGAGCCAGCTGAGCAGTCCCAATCAGTCGATCCGGCTGCCGCCTATGCCGCCATCGGCTCATTCAACCGATTCACAGGTCGGTGGCAAGGCGGCGACCAGGACCCCGACCAGCACAATGACGAGAACAAATCCCGGCGGCAGATGAATGCTTTCTTTGACGTTGATGCGGCTGCCAATGCCCACGATGGCCGGAGCCTCAAGGCTGAACGTTCGGGCAAGAAGCCAAGCAAGAACGAGCTCAAGCAATTCAAGGAGAAGAGGAGGGCCAAGAAGGAAGAGAAGCGTCGGGCGTGGTTGCGGGATTGAGTATAAAAGAAAGAAAAACTGCCGGAGTTCATTGGCGTTGAAAGGGACGGGGACACATGTATTCCAGATCTTGGCATGCTGCTGTAGACATTAGATTTTTCTTGGTTTTTCTGTTGGATCGTGCTTGGCAGCTTTTGTGCCCACGGCGAGAGCTGTATACCCATGAACTGGGACAATATTCTCGAAAGAGACACTTGGACGATGGAATCACCACGTCCAAGGCCACGGCTGTGGCTCAATAGTATAACACAGACACACACTGCTGGTTCTTGAACCAAAGTTACCTGCCAGTCTCAAGAAGGCTCATCCAGTGAACGCCTGGCATCAGAAGCTGCATGTGTAGGAAGGGCTCGTTTGTTCATCCGAATTCTCCATCAATCATTGGTCAGCCTTCTGACCAGGCAACGCAAACGGACCAGACGCCTTATCAATGCTAATATTTCCTTGTTCTCTCACCAGCACATAGATCAGCCGCCAGTCAGTAGGCCGCTCTCAGGGGGACGCCTCTGTTTGTGGTCATCTGGCTGAGTGGTCTATGTGTTTACTCGTAAAATCCGTGCGGCAGGGTTTTCGGCTTCGACGCCAGGGGACGCCCTGGGGTCGAAGAGCTTTTTGTGAATTTTTATTTTTATTTTATCTTTCCAACCTTGTTGCATTATTCTATTACATTTCTTTTTTTGATTCCCGTCAGTCTTGTTATCCTTTTAGTTGTCAGTCATTTACTCACTTGAACATCTATCTCATGATACTCACACACCAGCAAAGATCCAGCCAGATGTCAACCATTGCCTGTTATTTGTGAAACAAGGACTTGGGTTTGCTAGGTTCACGTTTCATTCTAACATTTTGCGACGGTGAAGTCCATTTTAGTATAGACCTCAATATTCGACAAGTGTAATAATAATTCTTGGACATAATAAAATATCTTTGTCATCTTGGGGTTATAAAATGCTCTTTTTCTCGTTTCATGGAGCAATATCTTTTTGGTATTTGAAATTATTCGAGAAATGTTTCCATGGTAGGGCTGAGGTGCGGGAATCATCCTATATGCATGGAAGTCTTGCGCTCGGCCACTTACAACCCGTGAACAGACCCGGCCATTGGTGAATCCCATACGCACGTGGTTCCTCGGGTACTTGCAGGAAGCAATAGATTCCCGATACCATGGCACAGGGACCAGATACATTCAATCCTGTTTCCAAGGCGTTCTATCTTTGACCAATTCAATAAATGCGGTTTGGAGCGTTTCTCCCTCTCCCCCATCTCCATGTGCCAAAAGAGGGTAGCAATTCAAGTTTTCTATTATTAAATGAGTTTTTGTTCCAATGCACCAAACGATGGCGTGACTGAAGAGGCAGAATCAAATATGGCATTCTCCTGGTGGGCAACGAAAATTATCAGTTATGACACGTCGATGAAACAAATAGTTTCTAGCTCGAACCGACGGTGGAAAACCCAGTCCGTGGTAAAAACAATTGCATCCACTTGGACCTTTAAGCTTATTTGCAACCTTATCTTTTGGTAATACCTATCTAGGTCTTTCCAGCTCGACCTAAACGTTATGCAGTATAATGCGCATCGAGAGAAGATGAATTCAGAACCAGCATTTGGCACAACTAATTGCACGTGTATCTGATTTCGTAATATCAACCTAAGTCGCCATTGAACTGTGTCGTGTCCCTGACCTTCTTTGCAAGATACATGTGACAGCTCTATCCGCCGATGTAACAGAACTCTGTGAACAAACGCATCTTTAAGAAATACGCACTATCGTCTTGTTCAGCGCCCCAGCCTGCCTCCAGGACTTGACAATCTACGTGGCAATCATCACAATCCTTTCCGTGTTACTGTGCCGCAATTTGTGGTGGACTACAGCCCCGTCATAGTGGACTAGCACAGATGGTGATCATTCCCGATGCTGGCAATTGGCAGTTTGACGGGCCTCAAATGGCACGACCCCCCTGATTCGTCTGTTGTGCATGTCGCCTTGATCACTTTGTTGCTCGCAGTGAGTGATATGTATCAGTCGAATTTCGTTGCGAAATGACAGAATGAAAGAATGCAGGGGACAACTCCAATATTTAGTCGAGGAGATTTTTGAATAAAAATGTCCAACACGAGTATGGATTCCTGGCGCTTAATCAAGCCGGCGAATAAAGTTGAAAAGCTTTACGCATCTCGCAGTAGACCTACAAATCGCAGCATGAACTCCCTAAAGGAGTTCTTCAGTGGACATGATTCACGCATGTGGAAAGATCTCCGACACATCCCAATGGCCATTTGGTGCCAACAGATCATATAAACCCTGGTTCGCAACCCCCGGATCAATCAGATCATGCAATCCCAAGGAGCAGCACCACGCTAAAATTTTGTATAGAATGGGCAACCTAGACGAAACTTGGTAGTCATGCACTTGAATCGCCAATTCTCTGTCCATTGCTGTCAGTTCTTTCCCAAACGATATCAGACAAGACGCGAGTTGCTAGAGATCAATAAAGATGCGTAGGTTATTCATGTCTCCACAACTGCCGACGGTCACAAGTGATAGGTTATACCGCTTATTCTATCCAAAGACTAGGGATATGGAATGAAGCGCTTAGTGGCCAGGGGTCAGGATTTCGTCTGACTGCATAAGTAGGTCAAGATTCTTGCTTGGTAAAGAAACGTCTATTCCGTGTCAGATCGTCAAGACAAAGGATGCAACGTGACCAGGGTATTGATAGGTCAAATGTGAAATTAGAAAATCGATGGGGTAGCATCAGACTTGGCGTTCCTCTGGAGGAAGGCTGCCCCTTGTCCGCCCGCCACGGCTTGGAGCCTTACCTACAAAATGAATGAGGTTGAATGTGCTCTCAGAGGACATGATCTTTTCCGCTTCCAAACCATGCCATACTGATATAATCATCTTGCTTACAAAAGCTTGTTGGTGCGACGTTTTATGAAATGTCTAGTTCTAGTTCTGTGAGCAGCTGCTACTATCCCAACGGCTTACTGGCGAAAGACGACACGCCATGCGATCCAGATGCCACCACAGGTAGCCCTTGTTGCGGTGCAGGAATCGGCGGCGTGTGTCTTTCCAATGGCCTCTGTCAAGGAGGCAACGGAAATGTCGTTCGGGGTTCCTGTACTGATTCAGACTGGGGCGATGGCTGTCCGCATTACTGTTTGGGTAAGTCCTTTCACCACTATACTGCTGCCCACGATAGTACTAGTCTGATGAACCTGAATGCTGACCATGGTGGGGGAATTAATGTGTAGGTGCATCAACGGGAGGCACAGATTTGATATCATGCTCAAACGTCACCGGCACGGATACATCATACTGCTGCGACCACACGTCGTTTTGCTGCGACACGGGCGTCAGCCGCTTCACGGTACTGCCGTCGAACCCGACCACGTCGGCGACCTGGAACCCTTCTTCGTAAGTATTGCAAGTCGGCGGTGTTATTGAATTTTACACGTCTTTCTAGAAGATTGTATCTTTGAGAATTTGTTGCCCAGTCCCATGTTTTTGTTTGGGGGGATATCTACCTACCTGTGAGCCGTAGCTCGACCATTTGGTGAAAATTGATATACCATCAAAAGAGGATCTAGGAGCTAACATATCTCGACTCACTAGGTCCATATACGTTGTAGTAGCATCAAAGTCGTCGTCGACTACAAGCACGACATCGACGGGGTCAACGACGACAACGACAACGGGAACCTCACAGGGGGAAACGACGCCGAGTAGTAGCGGCAGCAATAGCAGCAGTACTGCGGAAACCAGCGGCACCGGAGCAGCCGTCGCCAGCGGCTCGACCGGACTAAGTTCGGGCGCCGCGGCAGGCATAGGCGTGGGCGGCGGTGTCGCCGTGATCATCATTGCCTGCATAGCATTCTTCCTCATCAGGTCGCACCGGAAAAGAAAACGGCAGCCCCAGGGTTTAGCAATGCGGGATCAAGTCGACCAACAAAACGAACCGCCGCTCATGACTGAGCATTATCATCCCAAGCCCGTGGAAGCACCCGATCACGCTCCCGTGGAGGCGCCCGACAATGTGGCCCTGTACCTGCACGAACTGCACTCCGACCGGATGCCACCCCAAGAATTACCGGACAATAGCAGAATGTACCACTAGCAAAAATGACAACGATATAATGAGTCTACCGAAAAGAATTAATTACTATCAGTCAACCTGCTTATATTCACGTGGAGCGGCAGGCATGAACATTTGGATTGATACCCTTATATTTAGTACGAGAATACGACACAAGAGACATATATTGATGGGGCCCTTACACACGAGACTGTGGCATTTGTAAAACGCTTGAATTTATAAGACTTTGTATATATATACATCCGCGGGCATTTGACTTCTTCTTTCGTACCATGCGAGAATCCTGGAATGCAAACCAAGTACTTGTTAGACGATACAGTTTGTTGGCTCAGTAACTGTGCAAGTGTGATGCTGAACACTGATCTCACACATCTTTCAATCAATGGGTATGCAAATGGATTGATTCTCATCGTTTTCTTGATATCTTGGCTTATCCACTGGATATGCGTTTCTTGCAAAGCAAATAACAATTGAGGCCTGACCCGTGTCGAAGCCATCTCGACGGCTTTTGACCCGTATGATTAAGCCCAGCTTACTCAGTATACAATGGGGATTTCTCATACATTTTCGAATATGTCATGCCTCTGACCTCTTGCAGAAGCTGTCAGAAGTTGTGACTTTGACTTGCCAAGAACAGACAATGTCGATTCAGAGGAATGAGCCAATTATCTCGCAGCAGCTAGACAGCCAAATAACAGGTACCTAGGTTGCAATCGATCGGCATCCTATCAATTGCCACGATTGTTAAAGCGTCATATCACTGGTTCTGTAAGGCCGACTGAAAAACGAATAATCGTATGAACTCATCAGCACCAACCAATGCCCACCTAACGTGTACAACACAAAGTCCAACAGGAGACGCGGTAACTAAAATGATTTATGGCAGCTGTATCTTCAATATCAGCAAATGCTAAATAACCTATCCCGTCCCTTACATCGAGAAGTTCAAAAAAAAAATAAAGAAAAAAGGTCAGTCGGGGATTCGAACCCCGGTTACCGGAAAACTCAAATGATCTAGATAAAATTCAAGATCAGAATCCGATGTGATAACCAACTACACTAACCGACCGAGTTGATGAAAAGTAATGCGTCAAAGTATCAATATCATTATTGGAGGAAGAAAAAAAAAGGCGACGACCGAAATAATGCCGCGCAAGTTCCTGTTTGTCTGGTAAGAGAAGTGAGATGTTAGGTAGGTGACGAGGTTTACTAAATGGCAGTACTATTCGACGGTTCACAATATTATTTTATGTGATGGTACTGTTAGTGATATGGCGCGTCGGGAAATGGACAACTTGAGAAGTTGTGGTTGATGATGATGATGATGATGAGCAGGGACGAAAGATGAAGACTCCAACGGTAGACCAAGGATGACTTGGGATTGTTGTCACAGAGCACTTGACAGGCTGCCATCTCATTATCTCTTCTTCCGCTTATCACTTCTTCTGTTGTGTCTTGAATTTAAAGATAGTCCTATTGAGTGCAAAGGGTCAGGAGACTTCGGCATAACAAGTGGAAGCAATTATTTATCAAAGGTGGAAATACGTGGGCAGATCCAAACCCAAATTAGATGAATCAATATACACAAGAAGTGTTGCAGAGGTTATACCGAAGGAAATCTACGCATCATATCATGATATTTACCCAATGAGGCAAATAAGTCCCATCTGCGCATTCGTGATGCACATGGTCCAGACAGGGAGGAAATGGAGGTACTATGGACAGAGACAAGATTGCATACTATAACGGAAAGTCTTGGCAAACTGTGGCGCTGCTGCGGAAGTTGTGGCTCAGGTATTATAAACACAAGACATGAAAGAAAGGTGGGTGCGGCGGGGGAGCGCTTTGGCCAGCCCAGTGTTTTTAGCGCTTGAACAAGCTTGGAGAGCTCAGGTCCTCCAGCCAGCCAACGCTTCGTACTTGCCCAGTGTTTGGCGCGCTGACGGAACAGGAGCTTCGTAACTTCTGGCAGCCTTGCGTCTACCTAGCACCTTGGGTAGTTGCACCCATTCAATCAACCTCATCTCCAAACCAAACCTACAGAGCCGATCAAACCCAACACGATACCCCCAATTTCACGACATTGATCATTTGTCTGGTCTTCTCTCTTCTTTTTTGTCTTGTGCTTTGGTCTTTGAAATCAAATAACCGCATTCAGTCACCATGGCGTCTGGCTACGACAGAGCTCTCTCAGGTAAGCTTCCATCGTCATTGACTGCCACGCGGGCTCAGCTAACCAAGTACCTACAGTCTTCAGGTTCGCACCATCCCAGCTCGTACTTTGACCCGCGCTTGTTCTCTGACCTAGTACAGTCCCGATGGACACGTCTTCCAAGTCGAATATGCCGGTGAAGCCGTCAAGCGAGGTCCGTACACTATCGGAACCATGTACCCAGAGCATCCGCCCATTCTAACACAAAACATGCAGGTACCTGCGCAGTAGGCGTCAAGGGTTCCGACATTGTCGTCTTGGGCTGCGAGAAGCGATCGGCCATGAAGCTGCAAGACACCAGAATTACACCATCCAAGATCTGCCTCGTCGACACGCATGTCTGCTTAGCCTTTGCCGGCCTCAACGCCGACGCCCGCATCCTGGTCGACAAGGCCCGGCTAGAGGCCCAATCCCACAGACTGACCGTCGAGGACCCCGTATCGATCGAGTACATTACCAAATACGTTGCCGGCGTGCAGCAGCGGTACACTCAGAGTGGTGGTGTCCGGCCGTTTGGTATCAGCACCATGATTGTGGGCTTCGACAAGGGCACAAAGACCCCACGTTTGTACCAGACAGAGCCCAGCGGTATCTACAGTGCATGGTAAGATTTACATTCGCTTGAAATGGAGGAATCTAGAATGACAGACCCATGGGTGCTGATGTACTGGAAAACAGGAAGGCAAACGCCATCGGCCGCTCTAGCAAGACGGTACGCGAATTCTTGGAGCGCAACTACAAGGAGGACATGGACCGAGAGGCTACTATCCGACTCGCCATCAAGTCGTTACTCGAGGTTGTGCAGACTGGCGCCAAGAATATCGAGATCGCCATCATGGCACCAGGCAAGCTTATTGAGATGCTGCCCGAGGGAGACATTGAGAGCTACGTCAAGAACATTGAGGAAGAGAAGCAAGAAGAGGCTGCCAAGAAGAAGACAGGCCGGACGCCAGGTACTGGCAGCGCTGCCATTCTGACCAGAGGCAGTGATGACAAATAAATGCTGGGAAACAGCAGGATGGGTTGATGGTACAGAAGGGAAAGAGAATCCTTCTACGTATGTGATGACTTGAGCCATAGAGTGACGAATTTCAGTCACGGAACTGTACAATAATCCATTGCACCACTGGCATTGCCTACCTAGGTCTCTTTTTGTGTCATGTTCTTGGTCTCATTCATCAGTGATGTCTATAATGGTATCATATTTTCGCAGCCGCACGCACACCTGCCCTCTCGTTCCTCCATGTGCATGTAAATCTCCCGTCAGTGTCGCTTCCTCGCAGAGGACCTTGATTAACCAAGTCTGTCGGCATCCTTGTCGATATCAAAGATTGTCCTGAGCTCATCTTCCTTGACCCGGTCGTCCTTCAGCATGCGGTTGTCCACCCGGGCGTCCTCTCCCTCGACGCGCAGGGCCGGCTTGGGCACGACGGCCTCGAGGACAAAATGGTTATCGCAGTGAGGGCAGTACTCGTCGGCCTCTTCAAAGGACTCGACCTCCTTGCGAAAGCACTTGCGACACTTTTTGCAGGCAAACGTCATTTCGAGCGTGGGCTTGAGCGTGTGCGACTCGCTCTCGTGGTGGCACTCTGCGCAGTCGAACCACTTGCGGCAGCACGGGCTGCGGATCGATACTTGGGCGTTGAGAACGTGTTTACTGTTTTTGGGAGAGATTGATGTGATTAGATGTTTGGTTTCTTTGCCAGCTTGTGAAAAAGGGGGACCCGTTTCTTCCAAAGTGCCGCGAGCAGATGGGCGGTGATGGGAGCTTACCACATGATGGTGTATGTTTTGCGCAGAGGCTCTGCTCTGCTCTGCGACTTTATCTTCTTGTTTGGGGGATGTCGAGTTACTGGATCTTGAAAGGAGAAACCCTTTATATGATTATGAGAACAAGAGTTTGCTCCAGCGAATCGGCTGCTGTCCTGGCTCGTTGGGTTTTTGGATGTCTCGATGGGCTTTTTAGAAATTTGGGAAACATTGACACGGGGAGAGCGCGGGGCGATTTCGCTGTTGCTTGCTAATAGCGGGATCCCTGCGGAATGCCAATGCCTGGGCTGGTGCCGATGCCAAACCCCCTGAAGGCGCTAAAAAGACACGGAGCGGAGCGGCGTACTTGGGAGGAGTGCTCTGGGTTCTGCGGGCGGAAGCCTTGTGAAGCTGCTCAATTTTGTCTTGTCGCTATTCATGAGGGCGCAAATGGTTCAAAGTTGAAGAGTTAGCCAAGGTTACAGACAAGAGGAAGCAGAGGACTTTGGTGTTTGGGTATGGTATAGAGAATCCTAATAGCTCACTGTATCCTTTCACGTTTAATAGTCATTGGCTTGCTATCATCTCCACCATGTTGGAAATAGACTAAAGATCAGGTATATCTAGGTAAGCATCAGGTCACTTATCGCGATCATTTCCAATCGGCCATATACATGACGAGGACGATCAAAGATGCCGAAAATATCTTTACTTACTTGAATGTTCAAGTAAATCCATAAGCAGTAAAGTTGATACCTGGGCAATCGGAATTCTAGAAACTCCAATTTAGGAACATGATAAAAATGTACTGAGGATCAACCTGTGACTACCAGAAACTTGATTCTTTTTTGTGCCCGCTTCAAGCGGAGTGATTACAAGAGAATACAAGTGAAATCAATGCAATTCTGGTAAGGAGAATAATATAAAATCTATCCATATTCTCGTGCATGTGCATGTCTTGGTATGTAACTAACCTAGACTGGTAGTAAGGTAGTCTTTAGCATTCTTATAGTCATCTTGGAAAGGGCCCCATTTTTTTCAACTATAAGAGGCATGCGATTAACCTCATTTAACGAGAAATCTGCGATAAAAATGCACAACTCAATAATCCGAAATTATGAAAGCTTCAAACCGGATTGACACTTCATCCAGAAAATTGAGAAAGAGAGAGAAGATGAATTACAATTGAAAGGACCCCCTTGTCTGTGCTTCACGCAGGGGGTGTATCGAGGAGTGTCCTGGGGGTTCGGAGACTCGATCCTGATTGGGGCACCTCTCCCTCAGTGGTCCAACCTATATGACACTTGTGATGGTGTGGGGGGTTGGTCGGGATTGGTCAAAGAACACTCGAGCCCGACGACGTTGGACTTGCCCATTGCAACGAACTCCCTCTTCCCCCTCCCCCAAGCGGGATCTGAGGCTTCCGGTATATACTGGATTTGCAAGGTTTGAAGCTTGAAAGGCTTACGTAGACCCTCAACGAAAACACACCTCCTCTGTTCTCAGCAACTCAATAACCCTGACGAGAGCATCACCTCGTGCGCAAGTCCCCCATTTGGGGAAGCTCAATGATGACGATACCTAGACAGTCAGCATCTACCTGCTTACCATTCTATTGAAGTCAAGGGGAGGGGGGGATTTGCGGCACCAGTATCGTGATGGTGCCCCTACCACTTATGAAGCAGACATACCCTCCCTTGTGATGGGGGCACAGCCTCCTGCTAACATAGTACTTTGAAACACGGCCGCGATATTCTTGGAAAGTGCGTTGGAATCATGAGCCTATATTATTCTGCCGTGGAAAATGGACCAATGACAAGTGTGCAATTGATCAAGGGCTCGGAGGCTCGTGTAAATGGTGTGATCTCTGATTTCTGTAGGTAGGTAGTTTCGAAACCTCGTGGTGTATATATCTCTATATGACCGCCCAGTTAAACCCTGGGCTCTGTCCCTCCTCCAATACTACGTCGAGTATTGGTAACTGCTGATTGTTGCCATATTGAGACTATAACCAGGTCCCATAATATCTCTAATTCGGTTGTCTTATAATGAAGATCTCAATTCTTCATCTCCTCGCCCTCGGCGTGGCCGTACACGCAATTGCGTCCAATGACGACGGAACCGACGCCGTGGTTGCCTCAAGTCACAAGGATGACGATGACGACGACAGCAGCAATGACAATGGCCACGATGGATCTGGCGATGATGACTGCGATGACGGCGACGGCGACGACCATCACCATCACCACCACCACCACGACTCATCCGCGTCGGAAACGACCCTATTCTCGACGGGAACCAGCGTCGTGACCTCGGATGATTCCACGTCCACCGTCACCATAACCTCGCCCACGAGCACCATCACCATAATCATAAGCACAACGGCCGCCAGCAGCACGGACGGAACATTGACAACATCTTCCACGTCCACCATCACCACGACGACTACCGTCTCATCCGGTGCAGCATCGACTAGCTCGGCCGAGGCCGAGAGCGGCACTACTACTACTACCAAGACGTCATCGTCGACGACAAAGTCTACCAGTACCGGCACTTCGACCACGAGCATCGTGACGGCGGCTGCCGCGACGAATGTGGGATCTGCTCGCGGCGGACTAATGGCTGCCGCTTTGGCTGGTGTGTTTATGCTCTGAGCGTTGCGCTCATCGTGGCTTTGGATCCATCATGTTGAGAAGCCCTGGGAAGCAGGAATGGTTTCAATGGTGGTATGAGTTGAATGATGGAACAGGGACTGGAAGCCTTAATTTTGGAGCCGTGTTGGTCTATGCAAACTCTTGTTACTGGGGTCTCGGATTTGATGCTGTGTGATATTGATATACCCCCTTTTTGTACCAAGAACTCTTAATTGTCTCTTACATGTTTACAAGTTGGCATAATTTTTTAATTTTTTTTTTCCCTTGCAATGTTCCATTGTTGTTAATTTATGTTCAGTCCAACAACGCGAGGATGTATCTCTGAGACAAAATATCGACTGGTATGTTGCCATGCCACAGTAGACCGCTAATACCAAGGTATAACAAGGGAGACTTTGATTAAAAGTGGTGTGATGATAAAAATCTACTTATCAAAGCATGCGAGACGCCAAATGATTTGCTAATTACAAGCGTGGAAGTCTTTTTTTCCATTCAAAAACCCATTGATAATGACGAGGTATCTCGCGATCTGAGCCTTCTATTCGAGTTATCGTTGAGACCATCCCGTGGTCATCGTATACCAGCTTCCGTCATGCCCCAAACTTACTCAATTCAATCCAAGATCGTGCTTCTACCCTGATGCCACCAGACCCAGCTCCAGAACTCGAGTCTCCTTCCCCTCTCGGTTGTCCTCTACTAACATCTCCGTGATCTGTTCCCAATATCCTCGCCTCAATCTGACGGCCTCTCTGCTCCCATCGCTCCCTAAAGCCGGCACACCATAACCTCTCCAGGGCGCCATCACCAGCAGCGGCAGCACCAATGCCATCGTAGAACCTCTCGACAATGTACAGTGGCGCGGCCACGAGGTCGGGTTGGCCCAGGGGGCCCACGCCGCCGTCCTCGTAGGGCCTGCCAATGGCCCAATCGAGGCTGCGGCACACGTTGGCAGCCAGCTTGCGAATCTCGCGCTGTCCGTACTTGTTGCGGTTGAAGAGCGGTGTTGCTGAAGCTGCCAGTTCGTCGCCGCTGGTGCGGCCCGAGGGACTGCTCTGGGCGCTAATGGATGACACTGGGTAGGGACTAGTTGGTGGCTGCTGCTGCTGTTGCTGCTGTTGCTGTTGTTGTGCATAGTAAGGCAGGTGATATGCTGGAGTTTGCTGTCGAGTCGGGGTGTTCAGATCTTCCTCGTGTATGGTGCCATAGTCGAGCGTTGCTGCAGCAGTGGGCGATGATCCATAGACATGTCCGGGTGCATGAGGTTGTAGATACACGGTCGTGGGTGCTATGGGCCCCTGAGACAGTACACACACCCTCGTGTCATCCAGCGGAAATGGACCGGTTGGTGATTGATGGCTTGCAACACTGCTGTTGGTTGCAGTACCAGCAGCGATATTCTCCGAATGCGTGAGGTTCACAAGCCGTGCCATCATTCCGTACAGAACAATCAACCCCGTCCAGTAATATATGTGGGCAAGGCCACCTTCTGAGCTTGGAAACTCATATGTAACCTCAAAAGGGGCCTGTCCTTGCTCCCACTGGCCTGTTCCATGATTCACACCGTTGCCAACCCCCCATGGCCAATATAGAAGAGGGCAGTTAATATTCTTCGATGCCGCTAGTTCCATCTCAGCATACCAGGCCTCGAACTGGCTCTCAACGTTTGCGCAGACTGAGGCAATATCCTTTGCTTTGAGGTCGCGGAATACGCCTGGATGCAATGACAAGACTCGATCAGTTCGCGACAGTAGCGCCGGAAGCTGGGAAATAATGTCGAGGAGGGTATCGAGGGCCGTCTTGGGCGAACGTTCCCAGGGTACCGTTTTCCATTCCGGATCTGCCATGGGAGTCGGATTGTGGTTGAGTAGAGCAGCAAAGATCTTATAACGAGGCGTTAGTGATGTTCTCCTTTGTAGCACTCAAAAAGGAGGTCTTGAAGGAGCGAGGACGCAGAGAAGTGAGCCTGAAGCGACATTCCCTGTGTATACTGGAGAGACAGCGGGGCCAGACTTACTGCGTTTGGGCGGTATATCCGAGTAAAGAAGTGGTGTGCTGGAAACTCCTTGAATGCCTCGGGGCCTAGTCGATGGATCGGACTCCCAAGAATGGCCGGGTCTTTCCACGGTGGCTTATTGCTATGTGATGCCGAGGCGCTTTGCTGTAAGATGAGCAGTCAACACCAGCTACACGGACTTGGACATGTTGTAGGAAGAATATGGGGAAATGGTTCGTATGTCTCACCTCGTAAAGGAACAAACATATACCCAAGGCTTCAGGGCCCGGCTCTACCCAGCTTTGACCCTGACTTGCTCGCAAATTCCCTCGTGGGAGGGAGACGAAGCATTGCGCTTCCAGCTGAAAATCATCCTCCGTGAAGGGAGGCACGACATCGGCCCTCGCCGATATGGGAAGGCTCAACTTGACCTCCCAGTCACCTAATCGCTCATGGCCCCTCCTGACACTCTGGAGTTTGGTATGGATGGCTGCAAATCGTAGTCGGTGCAGACCAGCTACGGACGCAACGTCAATAGTGTCGACCCAGCTCGTCTTGATCGGGTTGACTTCTGTAAACTCGAGCTGGGCATCCTTTTGCTCTCCTTCCGAGGCCGCACGTTTTCGGATTTTTGTAGGCTCTGGACTTGAGCTTGATGCTGCTGCTGATGCTGCTGCTGATGCTGCTGCTGTCTCGATTGCCTTCTTCCTAGCCCCTGAAGAAGAGGAAGAGGAAGACGTAGTAGTCTGGAGATTTCGCGGTGGATGCGAGGCACAACGTCCTTTGTCTTTCAAAGTACCCACGATGAAGACGGTTTCCGTCTGATAACCCTCACACTGCCGCCCGTGGCCGGTGCACTTTTTGCAAAACGGTCGAGTGTTGTCGCACTACAGAAATCGTCAGGACGGGTCGAACCACGAGCCGCCGTTGTCACCGAGGGATCCTCGGCGACGGGCGTGTCTTCACGATGGATCTGGGATGATAGTACCTACCGCAACTCGTCTTTTCCGGCACGTATTACATCCCTTGAACTTTCCTTTAACCCCAACCATTTCCTCTCTTCTCAGCTTGATGGTTTTGTTTCTTATAAGTGAATCCAAGTAAGTACTTGTATGAGGCTGCCGTCTCCCAGCACGATCTTGTCGAAATACGGTTTCCCAACTAAGAACTTCTTCTCGAGTGATGTTGGCCTAAGTGTAAAAACGATTCTCGTTGCCCTCATTGGCGCCGTGATCAAGTCTCTCTTCAATATCGTCTTCGAAACATACACTAAACGGCCAAGGATGACTTGGTTGGCTGAAGGATTTTTGACAAATATGCGGAGCTGAAAAGGGTTAAAAAAGGAAGATGGATAGGGGCAATAGCGGCAGCATGGCAAAGTATGACTGCAATCCTGTGGCGTGGGGGCGATGGGAACAATAAAGTAAGAAGCACATTGATGAGATGAGGGGGGGGGTTTCTCTCTTCTCAACGGCCCGGGGATGTCATCCACTCAATCGTGCCTGAAGCCCTACGGCATGGCGATGACTCCCTCGTGGTGCAATGCCTCAGCGGCGTCCAAGAGATAGGGCCAGCTGATTGGTGATGAACGATGGACTTGGCTCGAGTATGAAATATTATTGGACAAGGACAGACTCCGACAGGATGGATCACTTCGGTAACTCATGCCATAGGGGAGCGGGTTTCGTGTGTATCGTATTCAAGGTGGGACTGCTGCCAAAATTCTGCCTTTACTATGTACTGCGTATCTTGGCTCATGTTAATTTTTTTTTTAAATCCCTCCCCACCCAGCATACCTGGTTTACCAAACCACATGGGACGTAACCCTAGGATGACGAATGCTGATTCGTTCTTGACACAAAGTCCATGACGAGGGATCGAATAGGCTATTGGAAGTAATGGTGCCCACTTTCGTGTATCCGACTTGGCAGTCTATATGCAGCCCTACGAGGATGCATACCATCGAATTGTCACAGCCACCCATAATTATGAACCGTGCCTCCGGCTGGCGTGAATGAGTAAGGCAGAATTGTCCAAAGCAAGGTCCGAACAATACATAGTAGACGTGCCGTGCAGGAACGACTACTGACTGACACGCACGGATATGGGGTGTCTGTCATCTTCTTCGTGTGTCCCCCTGGAGAGGCGCTGGTCATGAGAGTCGAGGGGGTGAGTGATTACCCCGGAGCAGAGGTGAAGGGGCACGGACAAGTCGATCATTAATCATCCTATGACAAGACCTCGTCACAGATGTTCTTCCAGGCCCGAAAGCTGAGGAGTATTGTTGATCTGTCTTCTGCCACATTTCTCCCTGTGCCTCAAAAAAGCTCTGCTTGCCTGCCTGCCTGCTTGCTCCGCCATGGATGTACTGTAGATCGATTTACGGGAGGGTCCGGTGTGGCCGGTCATCTCGTTCGGGCATGCCCTCATGTCGGTCAGCCAGTCAAAAGACGGAAAGCCTTAAGCCGATGTGGCCATCTGCCAGGGCTGCCGATCATCCTGGACGTCTAAAGAACAGCGCATGACGCGAGAGAAGCAGACGGAAGAATAGAAAAAGAAGTCAGAGCATGGTACTTGCTTACTCCTAAGGCCTGTCAGTCCGCATTGCGTCCGCTCGCTTGCCAATGCGCGATCAAGGCCTGACTGACGAGTATGATGGAGTATCGAGGTGCGGTTAACGGGGACGTTCCCCGTGGCCGTAGGGCTGTTAGTGGGTGGCGGTATGCGCAAAAGGGTGGAGCCTCTAGGTTCATACAGAGTAGTATCGCAGCCGTATGCTGACGTCTGATTCGACGCTCCAAGAAATGAGACTCTATCGTATTGGAGCGAATAAGACGCGCCCTTTCGGTCCTATGCGGCACGGAATCGATGATGGCCTCGGCAGTAAGATTTGTGTCACCAACGAGACAAAAGACCCATCGTACATACGAAAACCTGGCCTGGTGGCATCAGCACTTGAACTTCTTGAGGCGCAATGCTCTAGCTATTTCATAACGACGACTAGATCAATTCAATCAAGAGAAACAATGGGGAAGAAAAGGAATTAATTATATCTTCTATCTTCTTTATTCAATTGCTTTATCTATGAGGACCGTTTCGTGTACTGCATCACCATCCCTTGCTGCTGGACATGCCCCTCTACACACCAGTCTAGTTGGAAAAGAAAAAGTAAACCGTCTACTCATTTACCACAATCAAGCACAGTATCCTGCCTATGAGAGCAACGATACCGGCTGTTTCCCCCGACATATCCCCACAAACATGGCTTTCTAGATATACTTGGCCCGCTTGGCGATATACAGCGCCAGCAGCGAAAACGTCACCATAGTGGCCACAATGCCCCCAAATGCATTCAGATTCTCGCTGCTGTCTGACTGCCAAGGAACCTGGACATTCATGCCGAAGAGACCGGTGATCACGTTCAGGGGGACAATAACAGAAGCCAGGAAGGTAATCTTGGCAAGGCCTTCGTTCGTCTTGGTGCCTTGAGTAATACTGTCAATAGTCAACTGGGCGAGGTAGTTGCTGTGCGCCCGTGACAGAATCTTCTCGAAGTGCGTCAGGTTGGTCATCATTGTGACCACATGGTCTTGAATGTCACCCAGGTACATGCCGATATCCATTCTGGGCGTGACTCTATAATTTTCGTTGCATCGCTTAGCAAAACCCTTGAGGACATCAGCCTTGCCACCCAGGATGCGCATGAGACCAAGTGTGTTCTTTCGAACGGCTCCTATCTTGCGTAGAAAAGTGTGCATGTCTTCGGCTCTGGCGATGAAAACCGAGTCTTCAATTGACTCCGTCTGAAGTTCGATCCGGTGGATCGCAGGAGCAAATGAATCAACGATATTGTCGCTAAATGGATACTTGTCAGATAACTTGCTTCCGACGAGCAGATTCATATCAGCAGAACTTACATCAAAGCATAGCAGATCCAGTCACTACTCAGTGAAAGGTAATCCTTCAACATGGTGATTCTTCCACGGACATTCTTTGCGTGCTCGTTGGGCTGGAAGCTAAAGCTCAGTGTACCTTCGCGGAAGACGATGGTGTAGATGTTGTACGGCTCGTAGTCAGGGCCGTCCTCCTCCTGGATGACGGTGAAGGAGCGAAAGCAGGCAAAGTAGTACGATGGGAAGAGTTCAATCTTCTCCCGGGTTTCCTGCACCGTGATATCTTCAATCGTCAGAGGGTGAATTCCAAAGGCCTTGCAAATAGCCCGGACCTCGTCCTCTGTGGGATTGTTGATGTTCAACCACCAGACTCCGTCTTGCTCATCTTCGGGGAACGAAAACAGGCCCCGCACGGATTCACCAGGAAGAACCAGGCCGCCAAAGGACGCAGCATGAATAGTCGACTCCCAAGTTGATGAAAAGAAGCTGAAACGATTAGGGTCGTAATGTTCACGAGCCGGAGCCTGAGAGGCCCCCGATGACATCAGAACCTCGCCCTTCTCATCGGCAAGTGACTCCGGGACCGGAGGATTAACAAAGTCGCCATCGACAGTGATCATTGGTGAGGCGCTAGGAATAGCCGGGTCGGGCTGTAAGTTGGGGAAGACTCGAACAGCTCCATCGGTGTCGCCGCGCTCAATCTCGTCAGACTCAATGAAGTTCTCGAGATATTCAAAATCGATATACAGCTCATCCCGTCGATGTTCATCCTGCATGGGGAAACAGACGTCGTCCTCGGCCGATTTGTTCGAGGTCAAACTGACTCTGTCATTCTCGACAGTCAAGGGGCCAGACCTATGGGTGCGGTCACTACGGCGACTGGCAGTCGACAAGGTTCTTTGCAACTTATCGCCATCTCCCTTGTCCCGTGTGTCCGATGACATGGAATAAAGGCGCTCGCGGCGGCGCGCCTCGGCGAATGCCTTGACAGAGTTGGGAGGAGACACTGATCGGTTTGTTTCCACAGTGGGACGACGGATGCGAGGAATGGTCGGGGACAAATCACCGCCATCCTCGTCAATGTCAACAATAGCTTCCTCAAAGTCGCGGACACGAATATCCGAAGGCGACACTGGCAGGTCGTTCCTAGATCCATAGAGGGTGTCGACAGTGCCTCGCCGAGGCCTCTCTAGTCGTTGGACCGATGAAACCTGGTGACGGTGATCGTCCAACTCGGGGACCGGAGTGTTGTAGCCTCCTCGGACGGAAACTTCTTCGTGGTCAGACATTGTGGCGAAATAACGTCAAAATTCCAAAATTTCCAAGGCAATTATTTATCTGGTGAAACCCAAAATACCCAAAAAGCGAGGCGCAAGAAGCAACTCGATGTTGAAGCAGGAAGATACTCGTAATGGAGTAGGAAGCTGCCGGAAAAGCCTTCCGCGATTCGTTCAAGGGAAGGCGTTCATGCTGGAGATCCAGTCACCTAGGAGTGCATTCGTTTCGCTGCAGCAGGCGTGGGCAGCACGCCAACTGCTGAATGAACTTGCTTGTAATTGCAAGCCAGACGTTTTGCTTTGAACTCTGCAATGCCACAAGACTGGCAAAGAGGTTCTTGGTTTTGCGTTTAGGTGGTGGTTTGGTATGTTAGTGTGGTCAAAATGGCTGGTGTCGAGGGCCAGTTATGGGGGCTTTGTATCGAGGCCGCTGTAGACCCAGCAGAGTGGGCCGAGGAGCGGGCGGGAAAAGGAAAACTTGATGCTATCGAGGCCCGCCAACTTGATTACTGTGTCGGATCTAGCGGTGTTGGCCGCGTGAGAGGTGTCAACTAGCTATGGAAAATAGCGCAATGCAAAGGAGGCCTCTGAGCAGTCTGACGGTTCCCGATAAGAGGTGATATTTCGGCAGGGGTTGACCGTCTCGTGGTATTGGAGTTTAGTGAACTTGCAGGCGGCTTGTGACCAAGTACAGAAGTTGAGCGCTTCGAGACTCGTTGCTTGTGGTGGAAAATGAGTAGAAGGCGTGGTTGAAAGGTTGGGCAGGATGCGAATGACGTTGGTCCCGGCGAAGGATGATTGCACTTGGTGTCGTCAGGGTCAAAACTGTCGTGGTTGTTTATGCCGGAGGGTGGTCGTCGATATACTTGTCAAGCGCAAATGTTATTGCACGGTAGTAGTTTGACGCGAAGAAAACATGGAGTTGTTGTGCCAGAAATGAGGAAAAAAACAATATTGGTTTTTTCTTTCTTTTGGCACTGGTATGGGCAGAAGTCTGGCGGGTTTTTGTGGTGTTTTGAGGAAACGGATTTGTTTTTGGTTCGAACCAAAGGGAAAAGAAAGATTTTAGTCTAGAAGTCCGGCCCTGGCCAGAAGGGTGGACCCCCGTCGAATTGGGCGAAAGGGATCTCAGCAGCAGGAATCCTAGCCCACGCACGAGCCCTGTCGTCAGTGGTTTTATTAGTCAGTGTTCAGTTCAGGTTCAGTTCTTCTAGGTTTTCTGGCTGGTCCCTTGTCTACGAGGCCAAAAAAGTAGCTGCAAACATCCCTCTTTTTTCTTTTTCTTTTTTGATCCCTGCTTTTTAACCATGTACGCCACAGAAACAGAATTTGGCCTGCTCCTGTACTAGTGTAGGTCTGTTGACTTCCGGATTGTCGGGTATCTACTCAGTCTCATCCTGCAATTTGAGTGCGGCACATTTACAATCCTTGTAATTGGCTGCTTGTTCACTTGGGCTTGATCTCTGGACTCCCGAGACATGGACGACGATGAATAGTTGTAAATAGTGTACCTCGACGGTAGGAGAATCCACGCTATTGAGGTCGACTGCGCAACATGAACTAAGTGCCGAGCATCCATGCCTCTCGGGGAGTCCAGCCAAGGCAGCGCCATTTTCGGTGCACCCGGCGTGAGAATCATGGATCTAAAACATAAACCTTGAGAGTGTTTCCGCCAACGGCTTGCGCTGACAGCTACATGTGCTGGATTGATTTGGTGCTTCTTACCTCGTAATATCAGACGACTTTTTTCTTTATCGACCGCCTTGAATTTTGTCAACGAGAAGTTGGCCAGACTGTATCCCTCTCTTTCAAACCTAGCTAGCGATGACTGCATCGAAGATTCGATGGTACCCATTTCATGCGACTGATGATATCGCAATCTCAGGTGCTGGGCAGTCATTTCTAGTGTCTCCATTTTATGCTTTTTACTTTACCAGGTATCGATGGTGTAGAAAACCCAACGTGGAATCAACTGGGAAAAAGTTCAAGATGATCAGTCCTTGGCTGAGTGGCATTTGAATCGATTATTAAGTGTGCCGTATTCCGTGGGCGCCGGTCAAGTTCGGGATTCTAAAGGTTTTTATTCCCTTTTGGTCTTTTCCCTCCAAATACATGCGTCACTTGTTTTCACATTCAAACCTCAAGTTCAATTTCCTTGCATCGTACTTGTAGATTTGGGTCGACCGCTGCGGAGGCGGGTCGCGGGAACCGCAACAAAGCTTTCCCCCTTTCAGCCTCCTAGCTCCCCCCTCTTGCCCCCACTCTGGGTCCCATCGACTTGAGGCTGAGGCTGAAAGTACCACGTAGCCGTTAGAAACACTGTGATCGGTACAATCCTCCAGCTGTGGACACCATCTCCGAATTGCTTCCAGTATTATAACCACTTGGCCAGCAACGAACTTCCAAGGCAAGCAAAAAGACAAGCATTGCAAACGACTACACGACTCTCAAAACCACTCTGTGAGGCTTGTGACTCCAGTTAATTGCACATCATGGCCGAGGAACTGCTTGATCAAGTTCGGGACGTGGTGGATGGCCAGATTGTGAGCATTTCCCGGCGCCCAGCCCACCGGCTGCGCATATCGTGCAAAAACTTCCAGCTGCTAACAAGGCTTCGTACAGGATTTTGAAGGACAGAAACTTGCCGAGCTTCTTGCTACCGTCCTGTTGTCTGCGGTCGGCGTAAGTTGCCACCAATCAATTGACATACGGGGCTCACGTACTTACGACTTTAACTAGGCCATCTCCTTTATCGTCGGATTCATCACACAGAATATTACGCTCGCACTCAAGATTGGCCTCGCCGGCACAGCCCTAACCTTCCTCGTCGTTGTTCCGCCTTGGCCCTTCTTCAATAAGCACCCGGTCAAATGGCTGCCTGTTGGAGGTGGGAATGCTGCACCACTTGCACATCAAAACATAGTCGTTGATGAGAAATCATTTTCACGGAACTAGGGGAAACATGGCAGGAAGAAAAGTGTGCAGAGGCCCAGTAGAGCTGAATGATGACTATTATGCATGAATAGAGGCATCAGCTGGTCGTGGTCCACCTCCGGGCGTACGGGCTACCAAATCTATGTGATCTCGTGCCATCCTATTTATCATATCTGTAAAAAGCATTGAGCCGTTGTCGAGCGATCCCCATCTTCACATTGTATCGACCGACCATCAAACAATGCAACTCTATGAGCTGCAATAAGACATTGAAGCTTTGTGCTGGAATCATGAAGCATTCGTCTCCCCGGGTCTGAATATCGCCACTTATCGACCATACTTTTGGAACTCCCAGTCGCGGTTATCGAGGGGGCAAACCTGACGAGCCTTGAGCCATCGGGAAATGCAGTGGAAGTGGAAGGCATGCTATCGGGACGCAAGCTGTTAGCTAACTCTTGGGAGCTCAGAAGTTGGTAGGGTACTCACGTTGCAGATACCCCAAGCAACTGTGCATTCCTCGCTTGTGGCAGAAGCCTGGTTGGCCTGACACTCGATGCAAAGGTCCATGATGTGGTTTCGGCAAATGGCGCAGTTGTCAACGACAATGTCCCAAGCCCAAAGCGCGACGGCATTCCACTGCAAATCACCTTGTCAGTATAATGTACAGAGAGACCAGGCATCTTGCGTAAGTAGGATGGTCAGTTCTGCTTACCTTCTTTACCTCGAAGCGCTTCTTCTCGCCCTTGCCGTCAGCATCGCCGCCCTTGACGACCTTCTTCTTCTCGGCGGGAGCATCGGTCATGTCGACGTCGGCCATGGTAGGTCCGAGTGCGAATTCTTGTGCGGCGCTGGATAATCGTCTCCGCTTCACGCGATGGAAGTCGCCAGTTTGTGACTCGGGCGAGCGGGAGCGTAGGCGATCGTCGTCCCCTATCTCGACTGATTGAGTATGCTCGAGGTGGTTGCACCTGAGTGGGTGATGTCAGAAAGCAGGTAGAAAGTGGGTTTATCGGTTCAGAGGTTGTCGGCGATTGGACCTATTGGTGATCGATGCTGGCTGGCTGGTTTATCGGGCCAGGACAAGAGAATCGAAGGAAGGGAAAATGGACCGTAGAAAATAAAGAACAAGGTACAGTCGTCGATCTGACGATGGTTGGTGCAAGGCTCTTCCTTTCTACCCCGGGTAGAAGAATCTGAGCTGCAACAAATACTGTATGTCTTACAAACGAATAGTTGCCTGCAAGGTTCTTGGAATTCGTGAGTTTGCGTCCGGCTGCCTGAGTCGAGTTGGGGTACACTACTAGGTAATCGCAGGTAGTCTTTGCTTGCAAAGAGCTGCACGGCGTGGCGGGGAAGGGCAGCCTAGCAGCTAGGTGAGTGAGCACAGAGTGCACTTGCCCCTCACTGCCTTGAAATCCACCGTCAGTATGCGGTGCCTGATTTGTCCTAGTCTCATCAAAATTGATCTCACCCGGGCTGCAATGATTCTACCTGGCTACATTTATCTCTTTTAGACCGCTGGGGGCATCTCCGTTGTTGCCCGGTAGGCCTCGAGCTGATAAACCCGAGCCGATGATACTGTGTAGAATCAATACGATGCTCACCAGAACGATCTTGTCCTGTACATTTTGGTAGTTTCTATTAGAGAGAACGAACGGTATTTGCATCAAAACATCCGACTGCCGTGACAACTTGAACGATTATTGAGTATGTTACTTTTTATCGACAGTCAACATTCCTCTTTTCGTTCGTGCGCGCTGCATTGGGGGTCTGTACATGCGTAGTATGTAGGACAAGAGAAATATGGGAGCCCGGACTACAAGGCGGCCTTTTGTCTGATGGTTCCTAAATAGAACAAAGTCGTCATCTCAAATAAAAAAAAGAGCCCAACAGTGTCAAACCCATGGCCGATCCATCTTGGGCATCGGATAATTGGCCCGCCCATTGCGGCGTGCCCCCCATCAAGCCCATTTCTTGAACGCTTGTGCCCTTGTGAGGCGGACGCGGCAACTGTTGTTCATCTTAATGTTCAAAGGTCTTACACAGCAGCGAGTTCAGCCATGAAGATGCCCCACTCAAAATAACTGGCACTTGCCCATTCAATGGCCACTTGACGTGTAGCTTAGGGAATTGAGTTCCCACATTACCCGAGTCACAATACTGGGTGGGCATGGGACCTACCTAACATACATACCTGGTAGCTAGTAGGTAAACCTTGGACCTGCGCAACGCAACGCAAACGCAATTCAGTGCAGCCCGACGCATCCTGTTCGTCTCTTTCTTTTTCCTCCTCCAACATCTTCGGGCCCCAAAGATCGAGAGCAGGTTGCGCTTTTCTCGACTTCACTAATTCCCAACCCACAACCGCAACCCACAAATATGACAAGACAGAGATCACTATCATTACTCACTTCTCGTTTCGCTTCTTCCGCGCATATCAACACTACGCAGCGACCTCCGACATAGCCCGCAGACTCTGCAAACCAATCAATCCATACACACACACACACAAAAGGTACGGTTGGCCATCACCTCGTTGCGTTGCGACGACACAAACTGCCCCAACCTCCCATCAGTGTCTCGTCTACGTCCTAGTCCAACGCCCCGCTCCAACTGGCCCCTGGACTACCGACTGTCTTGCGACATCATCTGCTTGGCATCTCAACCTGCGCATCTGTCTGACGTTGAAAAATAGACCTTCGGCTATAGCTTCATTTCATTGAAGCTTGGTTGCTCCTCTCTCGGCCCTACTATTAAACTTACTTTTTTCTATTCAACGCGCTGCAGTATACATGCTGCTACATAAAAACCAACATGAACCAATCGCCCCATCCAAAGAACTCGGCCCGCCGTAGAGGCGCTCGCAATGGCACGCCCCAGAAAACGTATGCTTCGGAGAATGACGCCGCCAATTATCGTTACCCCCTCTCCGACAGCCCATACACTCCACAGAGGCTGCCATCAAATGGCACTCCTGTGAATCATCAGCAACAGCAGCAAGCCCAGTCGGCGACTCAAAAGAAGCCTAGGAACCGGAATCCCTCTGCCAAGAAGAACAAGGACCACCAAGATCGTCACAGCCCGAATCAGCAGCAAGCCATCCCTCTCGCATTTGCTGGCGCATCCTTTCATGCATCGCCCGCTCCAAATTCGCTGCCCATCCCGAGCTTTCTCGCGAGGACTACATCAGCTCCCGACTCACCTAGTCTAAAGCTGCCAGGTCCTGGTCCTAGTCAGGAGCCATCGCCGCCGAATACCGATTCAGAGGAGAACAGCTCCCCCAGCCCACCACTGCATGCAGCAGTTCGCACAGACGAGTCGCCACTCGAGTTCTTCTTCAAGGCTGATCGAGCGGAGAAGGCTCGGGTTCGCCGTGCCAGCTCAGCAAATGCGGCCGCGGCCCTCCTTGGTAGCCCCTTCTCTCCTCCTCAGGTGCATGCTTCTCCGCGAGAGCCAAGTACGTTTCCCAAACTTCAAGGTGCGGCACAAGCGCGACGCCCTCCAATTCCGCGAAACCCGTCTTCTGGAATCCCTTCCAGCGAGCTCGACGGGAACCCCGGCAAGCCCCTTGGTCAGGCATTTTCGACTCCGTACTCTGAACGTATCAAGGCAGCACGTTCCAGGAATGCTTCGGGGCAAGGCACACCCTCTGCTCAAGGTCCAGACACACCGGACCGTTCCGAGGCTCTTAAGCGCTTCCTAGGCGTCGGATCACCTGCGACTCAGATCCATCCCTCATATGGGCATCCGCAATCACCATCCCATCACGTTGCGCCGCCTGCCTTCCAGCCTGGCATGTCTCCTGCCTCTGGGCCAAACAGACACTACTCGAATGCATACAGTAGTGGTCCGCATCCCTCTGCTCTTGGGCCCATTGATTTCAGTGCCAATCATGTTCGCGGCGGCCAGCCGAACCAAGAAACTCTCCCAACGGATAATTATGCGGACCAAGCTCTCAAGCTGGACGACCATCTGCGACGAGTCTTGAAACTTGGTCCAAACTGATTGTCATGGCTCTATCCAATACAGCGACCAAACTTCCTGATGGCAGTTTGGGTACGGGCTGTATCTGCGTGGAATCCCGACTTGGGCAAAGTCAACTTTTTGCAGGCTTGAACATCATTCGGAAATCTATCCATTTTCATTTGTAAATTGCGACTCACATGGAGTTGAGGCGTTTGGTTTCACCACTTCCGGCCATGGTTTGTTTCGATAATGGGCTGTCGTCATCAGAAGGCAAATTTTTGCCTGGGGCCAAACCCCTCCCATTTCCACTAACCAGCACTTTGGCCTTGCATTTCTTTTTTTAGAGGACGGAGTTAGTCGAGCTACGAATCGCATGACTGGTCATCGGTTGTTATTTCGGACATATATGCTCGCTTCTCTATGAGATATTTCGGAAACATTACTTTCGTGTTGACACGACTGCTCGATAATGTATAACAGCATGCATACGACTTTTTTGGCGTCACGTTGGCGGTGTTGTTCCATATGGATATCACCTAGGTTGCGGCGTTGCAAGCAGATACCCTATGTTGCGGGCTTTCGGTCTGTCATACAGGTGCCTGGTTGGATTCAACCTAGACTCGGCATTTTCGGTCAGGATTTCAAAGCTACATGGATTGTAGCAGTGCATCAGTGGTGTTTCGGCGATTTGAGGATGGCCTTTGAAGGATCGGACAGCAGGGTAGAGAAGTGCGCTTGGATTCTGGGTACCAGGCCTGAATCAAGTGATCACTGGGTTTTGTTTCTACAAGATATTGATTGAAGCGCAGCATGGCTGGAGTCAAATGAGCGATCGTCGATTCTAGGGAGATACTCAACAAAGTCCCTTACGAGGAGGACATCTTGAAGAGTTCAGGAGGAAAGAGGGAAAACAACAGAAAATGATACAAAAAACAAATGTTTGGTGGCGTATCCAAGCGACCAGGCCAGATTTCCGCTACATATATTTTAGGCCTTTAGCGATCAATAGAAGCGACTGAGCCTTTCAGGCTTGGTCTCATATGTCATCAAAAACACAATCCCTCGGGGTAGCAACAACTATTCTGCAGTAGGTCAAATCTTGTCGTCGACTGGCTCGTGGCAACTAGGATACATTGTCCTCGTAACAAGCAACAAGCTAAAGTTCAAGATCCCACACGAGCAAGCGCCATGAATGTGGTGTTTTCAATGACCTATGAAGTCACTCTGAGCTCATCCAGGTCCACAAACCCCGGTGAAATGTGCCACCAGGCGAGGTTGACACGTCTCTGTCAGACCTGTTCGGAAAGATACAGCGCGATTATACTCTAGGCGACACTGATAACAAGGAGTTTGAATGCTTGACATATCCATTATAATGACTCCTAGAGCTTGTATATATATTTGTTGAATGAACTCTACTGACTAGTGATAGACCTTATTTTCAAGTATCTTTTTAACTTCCGACATGAAGCCATGAAAATCAACCTAATCTATTATAGTAGCAAGACTTATCTACACAAGGAACTCTCTATCTCATCGCCTTATGTGAGAAATTCTGGAGCCCGTAATATTGTGGTCTCACAGGTCATAGAATTGCCGGCGAGTACGAGGCCGCCAATTTGTCACAACAGGAAATGCAATGGAGACGTGCTGACCACATATCACCTCTATAGGTTTAGTCTTCATGCAGGATGCAGGAAGACATGCAGGGCATACCTGTATTATGTATGTATTGTCACACTCTGACTTGACAAAGAAAGCATTTATCTAGCCTTACTCTATGCATTCGTGTATTTTCCAGGTCGCATTGACATTTCTCCAACTGCATAGTCTGTCTTGCCTTTATTCACTTCCCATTGCGAACTTGTCAAGATGGCTCTGTGGGACATTGTGGTACTAAGCGCCGTGCTTGGAGTTGTATATCGAATCATTGTCACTTACAATGAATGGCAACAGCTTCGCCACATTCCAGGTCCATTTCTTGCCCGCTTCACCCGTTTTTGGCTGGTCAGACACATTCTAGGAGGCGTCTACGTTGAAAAGTTGTCCCAACTTCACGAGAGATACGGCCCCGTCGTGGTGTTGGCTCCCGACTTGGTCTCGCTTAGCGACCCGGCCGAGATCAAGTCGATTGGCGGGGTTAGGTCTCCATGGGGGCGGTCCGTGATCTATCAGGCCTTCCGCTTCGCTCCCGGTCCGGACGGCGACTCGGTTCTGAGCATGCGCGACGATCGTGCTCATGCGCGGATGCGAGCCAAGCTCATGCCGGGCTACGCCGGCAAGACGGTCGAAGGCGTGGAGCAAATGGTGGACAAGCACGTCACGCAGCTCGTCGACATTATCGAGGCTCGCTACGTCACGATTCCGGGGGCAGACTACCGGCCCGTCGATCTGTCTCTGCTGGCGCAGTATCTGACCATTGATGTCATCACGTCATTTGCTTTCCAAGAGTCTTTTGCCTGTCTGGAGCGTGATGCTGATTTTCACGGCTACCTCGAGTCGGTCGGCAGGTCGGTGCCGTATCTCTTGTCCTTTAGCTGTTTCCCCGTGGCCGCGTATCTCATGGACTTCTCGGCGCTGGGCAAGATCTTTCCCGAGGGCGGCTTCTTCCCCAAGGTATTTGAAATGGCCCATCGGCAGGTCGGCAAGCGGTACGGCCAGCAGGAGCACGAGCTGCGGGAGCGCAACGACGTGCTGGGCACCTGGGTGGCCGCGGGGCTCAGCGCGCGCGAGCTCGAGAACGAGGTCGTGGGCCAGCTGGTCGCGGGCGGCGAGACGACGAGCACGGGCGTCCGCGCCGCCCTGCTCTACCTCATGACGTCGCCGGGCAGCTACCTGGCGCTGCAGCGCGAGATCGACGAGGCGCTGCGCGAAGGACGCGTCACCACGTGCCCCTTAGCTGATGCCGAGGTGGGCAAACTGCCGTATCTGCAGGCCGTGGTCAAGGAGACCCTCCGCATCTTTGCGCCGGGGGCGTTTTTCCCGAAGAGTAGTCCCAATGATCAGACGCTGTGTGGGTTCAAGATCCCGGCTGGCATCAGCGTGGAGCTGGCTTACAAACCTGCTTTGCAAAACAAGGTTGGTGATACTCGGTTTGAAATTTTCCATCGTTCTCCTTTGACTGCCAGTTTGCGAAAGAAGGTAAGCTGACCTGGTAACCATCTTAGGAAATCTTTGGTGAAGACGCCGCTTTCTTTAGACCTGAGCGTTGGATCGAGGCTGAAGGAAGCCAGTTGACGCTCATGGAGGAAACTTCCCGATTCGTGTAAGTCCCCAGGCTCATTTCGTCCCTTGACCACAAATCTCTAACGTTATTTTCAGATTCGGTGGTCCCAGCCGGTGGGAATGTCTAGGCAAAGGCCTGGCCTTGATGCAAATGCACAAGGTTATTTTTGAAATATTTCGCCATTTTGACTTGAGACTGGTAGACCCGGCGAATCCTTGGAAGGCGTCTGGCACTCGTATTTGGGTTATTGAGAACTTCTTTGCACAGGTCACCAAGAGATCTCCGGTCAGGGATTAAAATGAAATCCGCATTATCGGATGTGTTTCCGGCCATTCTCGTCGTTTGTCGGAACCGTACTTGGTTGTTGTACATCGAGGGCACATGACTTTGTGGAAGATAGAGACGTATCAGTCCAGTTTTGATATATTGTGGCGCGTTTCTTGAGGAGGGTCACGCAGTGTACACCGTCATGGGGATCATACAGCTTGGTTTGTCGAAGGTCTAGGGTTCCACACTTTCATTATATCGAATTCACAAATCCCGACTGAGTTCTGTTTTGGTCGACTTGGACATGCATGCTAAACCGTGCCTTCACTTCTGGCATGGAATTCTTCTCCACAGCCAACGATGCTACGTGGGTTTTAGTAAGTATATATCCAATTCGTAGCCATTGCTATTGAAATTGATCCTACTCTCCCCCCGCTAGGAAATATATCATGGTTAGTCAGTGGTTTGAAAATTCTTGTAACTCTGGTCAATCGCAAAGATAAAGAGCCAGGGGCCTTGATCAATGTCCTCGGATAATGTGTGATATATTCCAGTCGCTCGTCGGTACAGTAGATTCAGTGTCGTGATTGATGTGTTTGCAACACGACATCTACTTGAATGTGAAATAATACATGACATTGGCACCGATGCCAGGCTCTACGCCAAGAATGAAAAGCTTTCGAAATGAAATTGTGTACCAAGTCTAAAAACACCCTGTGTTTGAGGGAATATCTCGAGTGAAAGAGGAAAAAAAAAAAGAAATCAAGATGTTACGAGTTTTTCTCCGTATAAACATAATCGGAGCCGGTCCATCGTGACCATGATTATGTATTCAGCTAAACTAAGAGCAGTGTACACCAGTTCTACTGATTCGGCGAAGTCCAGTAGTCAAGAAGTCTATCAAATCCGTCTAATTGCTCATTGAGACACTCCATTGTATCATATCCGAAATATCAACAGATCCTTTTCGCTATGCTTGGAACCAAATACACGGTTCTCCTAAAATTCCTGTTAGGTTAGGACCAATCGAACCAAAGTCTGGTGGTTCGATTTCTATCTATTCCTCTCGAGGGACAAACTTTAGACCTTTCAATGATTCGCCGGATCGAGACGGCCACCACGAATCACTACCAAAGGGCTAAAATTGCCACCCGTTGCATTAAAGTGTCCTATGTGCGAAACCCGTGGACAAGGTTATCCCATTCATGGCCATGCGTGACGCGGCCAGGTTCACCTTTCGTGATCTTTGAGCGGCATGATGCTGAGGTTGTCGGTGATGAAGTAACATCCACAAGTCACCACTCCTTGATAGATGTGAGTCGCATCTACAGGCAGTAGCTGTACTTGATTGAGATTAGTCACGGTATCCTCGAGAGATCATCTCCCACAACTCACGAACCAAAGGAGAAAGTACTTAACAGAAATGTTGATAGAATTATGCCGGGTACTCATTGAACCTCCTTCGCATCATCATATTTCAAGGTCCCGTCCTAATGCACATCTCAGTTTGTTAGATACTCTGGAGAAGAGGTTTAGGTATTTTATTATCAATTCCCATTATTCCGTTCCACGATTATACAGAGTTTTGCTGTGGGACTACAAGTACTCAACAGATATCAAAATCATTTTCAGCTGTGTCAGACTGTACTCGAAGGTCCTTCCCATCGCAAAACTCTCCTGTATACGGAACACCTTGGTGAGACCCCTGGACACGTTCAACGAACCGAGACCTATGTACTCTGTAGTCATGACCGAGTGTCGTAATTTGGGTGAATCTAAATAGATATTGATACAAGCATTTGCATTACTTTACGATAGTTCCTATAAGTGATGAATGGTGGACAAAAAATATGGTTTCTGATTGGCTAGCTTATAGAATAATAGCATGCTATTTCAAGTATGTTAAACGTTTGTGTGACCTGGTACTGGACTTCTGCTATAGGCCTATGGCCAATAAGACTTGTAAAGTTTGTCTCGAAAAGCATATGATTATTCCCTGGATTCACGCATCCCTTGAGATTTTATTAGAGATGTACCCGGGCATTGATTTTATGACATGACTTCAATTTCACCATGCTATATTCATCTACTCATGATCGTACGTGTTTGCTTTAATGTGAAAGACCAGGAAAATGGTCCCGTCTCTATGTGTAGCTGATCATAATCCAAGCGAACCAGGTCTCTGCAAACAGTCTACTAAACCATTCTCAACGCGGAAGCAACTCAGCTTTGGATGCTCGATTCCATCGAACGCTCGAACTGGCTTGATAGACCATCGGACCGATGGAAAGGGAAGGAATGGGCAAGATCACCATCACACGCATAGTCCACAAGGATTGCCAATAACCTGCGATGCTGTCAGCAGCCTGACCGCTTCGTAGGGATTCCGTGTATCGTATGTTTGCAGAGAAAAGCATTCAGAGACTCCTGCACAACCAGTTCAGCTGAACCTCAAACAGCAGCGCTCGTGTGTGGCGTCTTCCTTCCTTACAACAAATATCACGTAGCATCGCTTCCACGTATCAGTACCAGAAGTGTTGAGGTTGATTTGTACCTGTACCTGGTGGTAATTGAGTCGAAATTCTCACATATGCAAAAGCCGTTGATTACATGAAACGACGAGTCATAAGACGTTGTTGTTCATGCTTGACACCTGTTTTCCAAGACCATGTGAAAGACTCGTCACATTTTTCTTTCCGGCGTGCCGTTGTCGTGATTATCAGCCACCACGAGTGAGAAAGTGGCCCTAGGCAGGCTCCAATTGGAGGAACGATAGATGGCGGCTGGCCATCAACATCCACCACTCTGGGCAAGACATGTTTGATCTACATGGGCGGTGCAACGCGAACATGTCAAGCCGAAGCAAGGAAGCTGATGCAGCCGCTGCAGCTCAACTATCAGTGAGGGCAAATTGCCATTTTTGGTAATTTTGGCCCCTAAAAGGGCTGTCTTAGGAGGGAAATCCTTTCCCGGAGGAGGGCCGATAAGGGCCGTAAAGGCATTCTGGAGGGCAATCTAAAGGGACCCCCTGATTTTGGAGGGTGTTTTAAGGGCGTCGAAAGGGACAGTCCCTTTAAGCGCGATAAAGGCGGGTATCTATTGCTATTATATAGTATCAAAAAGGGTATCTAAAACTAATACGAATAAATTCAGTTCTAAATGTATTTATCCGTGCAATTATAATATTTATTAAGCGTAATAGATTAATAATTAAGCGTAATTATTTATTTAAGCGATCCATTTCTATTTTGCGGCGCTGCCCTTTCCTAACTATAGCGGGCTAGGGGCGCATTAACTAACTATAGCAATCGGTGCCTATCGTAAAATAGAATTAAGCGCATAAAATAGGATTTTTTAAATATAGCGTAATCGCATTTTATAAATCGCATTTTAAAATCTAATAAAATGCGAAAACAGCTATAAAAAAATAATAAATAAGCAATACTATTTATTAAATAAATAGCTTAATACTTAACTATTATTATCGTTATTATAACGTTAGCGGGCTAAATTAGCGCTCGCCGCGATTATTACCTAAATATTAATTAAAATAAACCTTTCTTTTAACGTATAATTAGGCCTAGCTAGCTAAATCGCGCATTTAAAAAAGCTTTTTTTATTTAATTAATATTATATTTAAAGTATATTATTATATATTTAGGTATATTTTTATTTATTGCTATTAAAAAGCCTAGCTAATTTGCTAATATATAAAATAAAATATAAAATTAAATTAATATAAATTAATTATTACTAATAATTATTTAAGCCGCGAATTAGGCCCAGGAAATAAACTAAGGTTAATTTTATAATATTATAATTATAAACCTATATAAAAAGCCAATATAAATAGGCTATTATATATAAAATATATAATTATAAACCCCGTTTATATTAATATACTTTCGAATACTAAAAGCATATAATTAAACGCTTTTATTCGACGTTTAAAAATTAAATATTAAGCATTTAATTAACGTCGCCTAGGGAATAAAATAACGATACCGACCTTTAGGCAAAAAAGGTTAAAAACTATTATAAAAAAACCCGCGATATTTATTTATAATAAAATAATTTAAACTTTTTGCTAATTTTTTATTATAGTTTTTTTTAATTTTAGCGATATTAATACCTAATATTTAAATTAAAGCAGCTAATTATAGCCCTTTTTAATATAGCACAGGGATTAAATCTAAATAACTTCCTAATAAGTTATAACCCACTATTTATCCCTTTTAGTTAACCTTTTTTTAAAGATACCGCAAAGGCTTTAAATTCGTGGCGGAATTAAAAAAAAAAGGCAGGAAAATAAGGCTGCCGCCGCTTAATAGGTAAGTAAACTATGCCGTTTAAAACCTAAAAGGAGAACCGCTAAAACTATAAAAGGCGGAAGAAAAGAAATTAAAAAAGGAACGCGCCGCCGTTACGGCTATTAATAAGGGCAAACTAAAAAGTAAATCGGCGATTTACGAATAAAGACGACTTTTAACTAAAACCCGTAAAAAAAAAGGCTAGGAAGGGTAAAACTGCTACCGGATTTAAAGACTCCGAGGACGCCGCTAATTTTTCGTTTATAATTAAACCTTAAAATAAACTATATACGCTTTTTTATTAGGCTAAAAAATAGCTGTAAAATCCGGATATACCGCTATATTAAAAGGATATTATCGAATTTAAGGAGCTTTTTAAAAAAACTAAATAAAGGATATATATTATTTATAAAAAGGTCGCGTCCGCGGCTAAAAAACTGCGGCGAATTAAGGCTAACGTTACGGAAATCGAAAAAATATTAATGATTTATTAAAACCTTTGCGAATAATAATACGTAAACTTATTTTATTATTTTCCCGCTAAGCTATTATATAAAAAGCTAGAAAAATAAATATTAGCCGCCGCGCGGTATATATTATATTATATATAAAAAATAGGAACAAGCTTAATTATTACGTAATTGGTTTTTTATTAAAAGTTAATTTAAATGGCTAGGATGGATTAATTTGGATTAATTTGGCTAGCCGCTAATCCAAGCT